TTACCGCTCTTCCTAGACTCGGCGGTACTTCGGGCTACCCTTCGTGGGGGCACACATATCAGCTCCCTCGGGGGGTCTACACTGTTGGCCGTTGGGTGTCCCTTGGTTACTGGGTGCAGGTGGTCCCTCGAGTTCACGGCCTCAGCTGCTTTTCCGACGCCTCCTGCTAGAACAGACGTCTCCACAGACGAAGACGCAGGCCCAGCAGGCTGGGTTGACGGCCTTTCTCCCTCTCCGGGCTGACCTCCCTTCGTCAAGGGTGCAGTCGAGACTCTACCTAGGGGGCTCTGCCCTCAAGGGGCTTTCCCTGTACGGTGAGCCGGGGGTTCCTGAGCTCGGACGGCCCCTAGGGGTTCAGTACTAAGCGCAGGCTGCGCGGAGTGGCAGAAATCCCCTCCTACGCCATTGGCGTGTTGTGATTCCTCGTCCTTAACGTTTTCAACTGGTAACGCGGCGAAAATATTGGTATATTGCTCGAACGGAGTACCTACGTATGTAGTATAAGTTCGACTAATAGTACAGGATTGCGCACCAGGTGAAATTAAGTCCTTAGCCGACGCCGTCGAATCGCTTATTTCGACGCCGGCTCGTCTTTTGACGACTTCTCCTTCTCGTCCTTGACCTCTTCGACCTTGGTATCCTTTCCCAGGTCTTCCTTTTCGGCTTCAGCGAGTAGTTGGCGGAGGCGAGCGACATTGGGCTTCTTGCGAGGTGGGAGCTTAACGGGAAGCCACTTAGATTTGTCGTCCGGGCATTTATGCTTCGGGGTCCACCCAGTGTTCCCACACTTGAAGCACCGCTTGTCGGACCGCAGTTTGTCGATTTCCATCGGCTGCCCGACACCCTCGTATGTGGTTCCCGTAGCGTCCTTCTTATCGCCACCGGAACCACTTCCCTTTGATTGATTGCCTCGACCCGAACCGCCTTGGTTCGGGGAGGTCTTACTGGCGAGGCCTTGGGCCACGTCGTACCTGTAGTTGGCGTTGATCCTAAGGACCCGAGCCTTCCACTGCGCGTAGGTTGTGGGGCGCTCGTTGTCCCCATGCATAACCGTCCTGCGCACCATCGGCCTTATCGCTGCTTCGACCACTTCGAACATCTGCTTCTCGTCTCTGAATTCTCCGCACTTGTGGGCTAGCCTCTCAAACTTCGCGAAGAACTCCACCGCTGACTTGTACTCCGATTGTCGGACCTTCTTCCACTCCGCCTTCCATATGGCAAGCTCTGCTACTTCCTGGAACTCCACGGTGATATCGCGGGAGAATTCTGCCCAAGTGGGGAATCTCCAGTGACCCTGGTGGTCCCGGTACTTGTAGTACTGGTCACCCCACCACTCCTTGGCCTTCTCGCGTAAATATCCTTGCGCGAAGGTGATACGATAAGGGTTCTGCCCTTGATCGTTCATGGTGAAGTGGAGCGGGAAGACTTGGAAATACATCTCGCAGTGATGTAGGAATCGGTTGATGTCCGTGGATTCCCCGGTGAAATATTCCGGCTGCATGATGAGCTTGGGTTTGACGTCGCTCCAGGGGTTATTGTCTCTCCCCACGGCCAGTGTCCACGGAGGAATTGGGTCCGGGGGTGATGGCATCTGGGGCGGTACCGGAGGATTTGGTGGTCGCGGTAGGGATCGTAGTCGATAATTATCCCCCGGCGGCGGATAGTTGCCGGGATACACTGGCGGTCGTGGAGGCTGGGCCGGTGGCTGAACCGGGACTGTGGACTGTTTTCCTTTGTTCGAGGGTCCTGCGTCGGGATCGTCCATGTCGTCGTCGTCAGGGCTGGCACCTGCCCAAAACTCCTCTGTTTCGAGCGGGTTCGGCATTGGTTGCGGGCGTTGGTACGGTTCGCACCCTCATTGGGGCACTCCCGGGTTCACCATGTTCCATACGATGGCAGCCCGATGCCACGTTTCTACTTCGAGTATATTCTTCATGAGGTACACGTCCCCCATCTGTTTGGCATGGCGGTAATCCTCTCCGGCCTCGGAGAAGAGCCACTGCGGGTCTTTCTCCATATCCTCCATCATTATCTCGTATAACCCATGCCATGGTAAGAGTTCGAAGATGGCGGGCCTAGGCACCGGGCCCTGAAGGAGGACCTGTTTCACTGCCGTCATTACCGTCGGTTCCAGGGCCTGATTTGGGGGCCGACTCGGCATCCTTGGCCTCCTGCCTCTCTCGGGCGAGTCGGTCAAGCTCCTTGTTCCGCCTCCATCTCCCGATGTCGGAGTCCTCGTTGGAGATCTCCTCTTGGTAGACTCTCCAAGCCCGGGCTCTGGCCTCGAGGTTGGTCCCTGCCCTTCGGGCGTATCCTGTGTAACGGACGGCGGCGGCCCGTATTCGGTTGTCCACTTCAGCGGGAGTGGCGTCGGGCTCGAGGGGGAGGTCCCAGAAGCCATTGGGCCCGTAGAGGGCGTCCTCCTCGGCACGTCGGATGCGTGCATCGTGCGCTCGGCCTCGCTCCATTCCGGCCTGGACCTCTGGGGACTCCCTGGCATCTCGAGGGAGTCGGAGGGACTCGACGTACGTGTGATAGAGGAGCGGCCATGGACGCTGGGTTGCAGGGATGGGATCGGTGAAGGCTCGCGACGCGACGGACGGCTCCCAGTTGGAGACTCCGGCAAGTCGCTCGGCAGAGGTAACTGTTCCAAGTTCCTCAGCGTCGTAATCTGGGAACTCGCCCCAAAGCTCCCCACTCGTCGGCTCGTGCGAGGAGACGGGGGAAGGGAGTGTTGGGGCCTCGGACCCTTCAGAGACCGGGTCGGGCTCTCCGCCGGTCGTGACTCCGGCCACAGGAGTCTCTTCCCCGTTGTCGGCGTAGACCCAACTGGTGTCGGGGTACCAGGCGACCGGGGGTCCTCTATTGGTTGGCCAGGCCCTTGGAACAGACTGTGGGTGAGCTGTACCGGTGGTAGCCGCGGAGGCTCCGAGGCTAAGCTCTCCAGGATCGTCGTAGAAGTCGTCTCGGCGACCCCTGTTGCGCGCCATTCTTGCGCGATCTCTCGCATCGTCTGCCGCGATCCTCCTGTCGCAGACTTCTTCCCATGCGCCTGTGTGTCCCCACCCTGAGTGGGTTCTCTTGCTTGTGCTTCCGGAATCGGGGGCATCTTCCTCCTCACCCGAGTAGAGGTCGTTGAGGAGGTCGTCGAGTCGGGTTCTTTCCCACTCGGTGAGCTCGTCCCCTTCGAACTCGGTGTCAGGGCTTTCTTCGCCCTCGACCAGATTCCTGGTGCCTTGTCTTCGGCTTCTGTTGTCGCCAGACTCGCCTTGGACTGGAGACTGGTCGAAGAGACCTGGTAAGGGCGAGTCTCCTCGGTCGAGGAGTACCCCCCGGGTATCGGTGATGTCGATGGAGTCGGCTGGCACGCTGGAAGCACTTCTGTAGGAGTCGGTGCTCGACTCTGAGGATCGCGAGCTGGGTCGCGACGAGGTGTAGAGGGATCCTCCAGGTTCCCCGGAGGCGTTGGACTCGACATCTCCTACTGTCTGTTGGGAGGCCGAGGGAATATCGATCACCGGCGGTGGATATGCTGGGGTGCTGGGAACGTAGTGGAACGGGAGTTGTGCGCGGACTTGTCTCCGCTGGCAGCAACGGTGAAGTTGGTACAAAGTAATGGAGAAGAAAAAGAGTATAAAAGTCGCGAAGACGGCGAGAATGGATTCTGACCAGGGCATTCGTCAGTGGATCGATCCTTGGCGTAAGTCGACGATTGACCATGCAAGCTGGTATACAGCGAGGATAGTGAGGACAATGAGAAGGGCGATAATCAAGCTAAGGTCGGTCTCATAATCAGAGCCGTTCATTAACGAGATTTCGCAGTTTTCGTCTGGGGGAGTGCTCGTGGATATCAACAACAAGATTGTCAATATCGACGCGAGCTGGAGGGCGAGGATAAAGGGTTTCGTGTTTGGGTACGTCGTGTCCTTAAATGAGGCGGGGATATAACGTGTACAGGGCGACTAGCAAGCTTGCTAGTAACACTGCCGATATTCCGAGTCCGATTAGGACGAAGGTTAAGAATACAGTCACAAAGACTGCGAGGAGAAGGTCGTCGTATAGGATGAATCCAATGATCCAGTCGGCCACCAACAACAGGAGAAGTAGGCGGAAGGGGACTAGCCAAAGGACTACTGCCACGAAGAAGTGTATCGGGTGAATATTGAATACGGGTAGGTTGGGCAACGATAGTTTTGTTGGGCAACCAAAGATAAGCTTCGGCTAAATGTTAGCCACTAACTCAAATCGACTTAGATCGTACTAAGGTCGCTACTTGCACTTCGGTAGACGACGCTTTAGCAAGTCAAAGGCGACGTAAGTCGATGGGACAAGTAGTCACGAAGGACGGAGTTCGATGTTAGGTAGAATTAACCTTAGCCGAAGCTGGGGTTCAGACCAGCTGAGGCTCTACTTAAATACACGTAAGTATTCTAAGAATACTACTGCACAGTCCGTCCGTGATGATCGCGCGTTGCGTAATCCGGCTGACTAAAGAAAGGAAAAGAAAAGAAAAGGAAAGAAAAAGAAAAAGAAAAGAATAACTGTAACAAGACACTGATAGCCTACACTAAGCACATCAATTAGGATATTCTCATGTTAACATGTTCCACATATGAATCGCTATTTCTCTGTCCTTTAGTCGTAAATTGGTATATTTGCAGTTGTTTGGTTTTTGCAGATTCCAAAGCCATTCTTCAAGCCTGCTGGATTGAGCACAGCCACATATTTGGCTTTATCATCAGAGCTCTCCCTAAATAGGAAGGTTTGTCACCTCGGGTAGACCTTGCTTTCCAGCAAGGTAATAACCGGTGAGCCAACATTTCCCGGGCCCCTATCCGACTCGGAGACAGCCGCAGATGACGTAATATTACGTCATGAGTTGCGACCCTTAACTTGCTCGCAACGGAACCGTGCTTGTTCTCGACCATCATTAGCTCTAGCCTCTAGGCGGTGAGTACACTGGACTGCGCCGATCCATGCACATCTTTCCCTCTCGTACGATGAGCTCCAATGGTCGAAGTAGTCGTACAGGTGGGCCAACCAAGGCTCTACTCTCACAGAGAGGATTTATTGACCGTATGGACGATGGGCTAACCGGTGTGGAAGGTATGTGACTCGAAACGTGTTTTTATGTCTCTTACTGAAGATATTTAGGTGCCCAGGATGTGATATCCATGATAACTTCACGGCGAAGAGTCACAAAACTCATTCTTGGACATAATAAGTTATCCGATGACGGATGTATTGTTCTCTTTCGGTTCTTAGCATCCCAAGCGGGGAGGAAATATCGAATAACGGAGATTAGCTTGAACTCGAATGAGATTGGTGACCGTGGATTGTTGGCTATAGCGGTATACCTGAATGAGAATCAGCATTTGACCGAGCTGTTCTTGCAGAATGTGAGCTTATAATACTCTCAAGGGCCTATTTTAATTGTTAGTAGAACTTATTTTCAGGAGATCCTTCAGTCATCGAGACCTTCACGAACAGTATCAACTTCTCGCATATCGAAATGCTGTCTCTCGCCACTAACAAGGCCCTTTCTGATGATTTTGCGGGTGCATTCTTCTCCGGCCTACGGTCAACATATTTAAAGGAACTACATGTTTCAGCTACCGGCATCACGCGTCGCTCAGCTCCACACATCATCTCGTACATCTCCTCTCCCGAACGTTGTCACTTACGTATATTCAAGTGTAACGGCAACGTTCTCGGCCACAGTGCAGTGAAACGTATCATTTTTGCTATAGAAAAGAGCAATTTTGTTCTTTCCACCGTGGAGCTCTACTCCAACCACATGGCCACAGAGTCAGATGATGACGATACATCATCCGACGACACCGATTGGAAGGATTTAGAAAAGAACTTGCGCCTGTTCCTTTTAAGGAACATGCACCTCAAACGCGTGGCCGAGAAAGAGGCTCTAGGTCTTCTGCGTTACTCTCGAACCCTCCTACTTCCTACGAAATCGTCCGCCCTCTGTATACTACCCATCGAACTTCAACTTCACATTCTCTCCTTTCTCGCCCCAAGTCTATCGCCAGCTCAACGCATAAACGTCTGCACTTATGCCTCGACGTCCATGACGCTACCTCCGTTACTTCCCAAATTGAGCGGCTGCGAACCCAAGATGTGCCTACCGGATCCATCCAGTTTAGGGTTTTCTGAGGGCGAGGGCAAAGTATGGGAAGTGCGTGGTACCACTGGTGGATATGCGGGAAAATGTCGTGATGCTGTTCTTTGTCATAAAGAACAGCAACAGACGAAATGGCTTGATGCTGTTGGGTGCTCGGCGTACGATGGAGGTTCCGCGTAAATATCTTTATTCAGTTTACAGGTAACGCAGGAAAGACGTCGCTATTGTATTAATTAGGCTTGTAACACTAGATATCATCGGAACACCCATTCTACTCGTTTGGTACGGCGGAGTGGTTCATTTGATCGATGCGTTGGGTATACGTGATCTTGAAGGCCCATGCATCTTGCACCATCGCCAGCACTTCTTCGTCAGCAACCAGCTCGAATACCCCGTTCTCGGACCACGACCAAGCCAGCTCCTTCGGACTCTGATTGGGTCCTAGAAACGTCGCTACATCGCCATCTTTTAAAGGTAGGGGAGACACTGAGCGAAGCGTCCCGTTGATTGGATAAGAAAGAGAAATGATATAGAAAGCATCCGGTTTTGTAGTCTGATATGGGCTCAGCCGTGGTATAAACTCAGGGACGGACAAGCTCACAAAACGGAGGTCATCTTCCTCGGCGGTCACATACCAATACTGCGTGTCGTAGATTGCCTCCCCCCTAGAAGGATAGGATAAGTAATGGATACCATCGCGTGCAGAAGACTGAGATTTTACGCAAACTTGAGCCACTCCCCAACTTTGAGCAAGGAAGTCCTCGATGGGGACACGACCGTTCCGTTTGCTGTAGGGCCAATATCGATGAGATAATTGCCATTCTTCGACACAATGTCAATAAGCGAATGAAGAATGTATGTCGCATTCCGGTAATTAGCGTCGGGGGTATCTTGGTTATAACCATACGAGTCGGGATCAGAACCTTCACTCGATTCCCATTTTCGCAGTTCTAGTATGTGATGGTGGTTGAATTAGGGCAACTCGGAACGCGAATGGGAGCACGTACTCAGGTGGGTTGTATCAGTGTATTCCGGGTTCTTTACAGACTGTTCAGCACAAATTGGTGGCGCGAATGGTACTCACATCAAAGTCAGAATAGTTCGCTCCGCATCGGGCGTTTGCGATGACTTGTCTACCGTTTTCTTTTGCCCAGTTGAACCATCTCGGGGCTACCATCTCTTGGCTCAGCATAGAAAGACACACGGATATATCCCGCCCCTACCAATATCCGGGAAAACGGTTGGCCCACCAATATCGCACCAAAGAATATCAGTCTCGTACTGATAAAACAGCGCTTCCATCTGTGGCTTCATAATATCTTGCAAAAAGTCGTCCACTTCGATGTAACCTGTGTATGGCTCATACTCGCTTGAATTGTATGCATTTCTAGAGATACACGTGAGGTTTTAATCGCCGGATGTATGAGGGGCAATGCACGAACTGCGCGAGGCCACCGGCAAACCCAGTGCGTTGGAGAATGTTGTAGCCAGGCTATTCAAGTTATCAGAGTAAAACTCAACGGCCTTTTTCTCGGGTCTTACAGTTCCTTCCGCGCCCCGCCTGTGATACAGATCGTCTCCCCCATCAGCATGACCGTACTTAGCGAAAGCAGGGTTAAACCATTCCGGAAGTGAGAAGTATAACTGAGGAACAATGAGAAAAACAAGATTGGGACCGTTTGCGTCAACGTACTCCAGTGTGCAATTGCGGCTGCGTTGCTTTGGTTGCATTCACGATCTCGCCGATGAGATCGCGTCTCAAAACTATATCGGAGGAGACTGAACATTCAGCGTACGAACTTTGACATACTTTGGTCCATGCAGGAGAGAGTTCCTATTAGATGAATTTCCAGTGTCGAACAGCGCAAAGCCATCGTGGTGCTTAGTAGTGATTACCTTCACACCGTTTTGATGAGCAGACAGTTAAAGCCAGACGATAAAGGAAACCTACAAAATATTTGGCACCTATATCGGCAACAAACTGGACAAATTCCGTCGCATTAAACTCATCTTGGAAGAAATCATCGTAGAGAAAGTCTTCTCCATATACTTCTTTGTGATGGGTCCACACCGCTGAGGATTCATTGGCGGGATTATGCTGCCAATACCAATACCATTCTGCGTACTGCGTCCCGGACAGTCCACGCGGGGACGGAATAGATGCCTAGCATTTTGTTATCAGGTAATGGCAGGGTTTAGAACACAAAACACGAAGCTTACCCCAGTGAACAAAGAGTCCGAATTTTGCATTATCAAACCACTCGGCACTCTCATGGGTCATCAAGCTGTCGTCTCCAGGGTAGAAATCGGGGATGCCAGCGATGGCGTCCCATTGATTCCCCACTGGTCGTCCATCAATGAGTACTTGGACGTCAGAAATGGGGGTTCCTGGCTTGATACTGTCCTTGTTGACGACGCCTACCAAGAAACGAGCCTGATCGCCTCCACGTAAACGCCTAATAATGCCAGGAATCATCGTTTCTAAAGAGTTGGAAGCAACCACTATGCTCATATCATGTGTGATCCAGGCCTCGGCACCTGCTGTACTGGGGGCGAAATTGTTAAGCGTGATTTCGAAGAGTTGAATTTCGTTGCCATCAAGGGTTTGGAATCTGTAGAGTCGGTATCAATTTGGTACGCATCAAAGATGAAGGAGAAGGTCTTACTTGGTAGTGCTTCGCACGTTTTGAACGTATAAAGAGGGTCGTCAAACAGAGGGAGGCATGTCTGCAGAGATGAGGGTTATGGCGAACACATGAATACTAACAACACCCGTAAGCTGCGATGTTCCTGTGTCCCTGCATTTGAGAACGTCAGATCGGGTACCGATAGAAAGAGTGAAGGTTACTGACCTCGGCAAGACGACTCCAGTGAGAACCTTTGAGTTATCAGTATGATGCTGAAAAGTGAACATCCGTGAGATGTTATCTAGGTAGAGTCAGATAACTCCCGATTCCTCATCCATAATATGGTTAGGACACACAGTTCCTGAACGTCGTTCCGTTCGACAAGCCCATATTTAAGAAGGGCGCAGTAATAGGCCTAAAATATTTGATTATTTACACGTATTCAGGCAGAAATAGAGTACGTACCCGTTGGAAGGATTCTGCAGCCACCACGGTGCTACAACGAAACCTAGAAATTCTGTGGTATTGTCGTCATACAAGGCCATAAATTCGCCATTAACATAGGATGTTCCATCAGTTGCACCGAGAAAATTGAATGAGTGGTATTTTCCTGGCGGAACACCAATTATTTGGCCGCTGCAATTAATGTTGTCGTTAGTGGCAAGATCAGAAAAGTTGGGCAGAGCATACTGGTCGATAGTCAGCTTACTGAAGTGGTAATGGAGGCACTTTACACACAAGTATGGACTGATCAACCAGTGTCCCAGATGGTAAATATTCTGCTGGATAGGACCTATTATGACCATCAAAGCTTGCAAGCTGTCCATCTGTCGAGGCAGCCTTGTTGTTGAGGTAGGGTGTCAAGTCGACATTGGTTTGAAGACCAGCAACAACGCCGGCAAAGCATAAGAGCAAGATTCGATGCATGAAGTTCTCTCCAAGGTCTGCAGATGATATATCCAGGTTTCCGTGACTTTACATGCTTCTGGAAGCAGGTTGTGGCCGACCCGGACGGGCCGTCACTAGATAACATCGTGAGCCGATGATAGGCAAACTACATGATGCCAGATGGATTCAGTATTCTATTTCAGTGTGACATTCAATGCAAGATCCACAAACGGTGAAAGCCAAAAAACGAGGCGACAAACAGCCCAAGGTTGAATCTTGCAGTCAAGAAGTTCTCCATTTCAGAATGTTGTTGTTAGGGGGGACCCGTGCCAGACAATACAACTTCATGATTAGTAATGATCCACATTCAGTGAAAGTATGAGAATGACGAGCACAACATGCGACATGAAGACAAAATGCAAACGTCCTGAGATCAGAGAATCACAATGAAAAACGGATTTTTAATCTGGGTTCGATCGGACGATCGGTCCGTAGTGCCGAATCGGACCGTCACGTCTAGTATCTACCGCCACTGGTAGCTTGCAATGCGGATCCTGACAAGCCTGCTCTTCATGCTTTGCAGTAGAAATCATTGTATAGTGACCATAAGAAATATTAAAACATCTAGAATTCATCTTAACCCAAAATCGTGGACAGAAAATGCGCACCAGTACACTGATCATAATTCATTTTGGCTCATATGGCAAGTCACTTGAATCAGAATTCAGTCAGGAAGGTTTTGTGCATCATTCTGTAAACGTAGATACATTAAACTCAAAGAGGTGAACCCGAGGCATTTATCACGCATGTAACATCGCTCACTCAACAATTTATGTACACGCTACCACTGCCATAAAGAGTTGTTGGTTCAGCGAGTTTTATCCACTGCTAATGGGGCTTGATCTCCTCTAGACTTCCCTTCAACGACTTGGTTTATGTCTGTGGTGTTCAATTTGGGATCCGAATCGTTCGGGCCATGTGTTTCATTGGGTTCTACCAAACATCAGTTGCAGTCGTAAACTTCGAACGATTAGCTCACTATATATAGAGGCGGGGCCTTCCTTGGCCCGTATATCCTGCTGCATCATAAGCAAGGCTGCGACTGTGAGCGTGATACCACCGGCGACTGCGAATGCCTAAAGTCCAATAGGTCAGAATGATATGTGATGACGGGACGACGTGGGACATACCACTCCAGGTCTCGTTTTGCTAGCCATCCTGGTCGAGGATTGTGTTCGAATCGAGGATAATCATGTCTAATTCTGTGCCTTTATAAATTGTTGCAGTCATGACATCACCTGGATCGTCATTATATCCTCTCGATCTGACGTCAGACTCGAATGCGTAAGTAAACTCGGCAAGATCGCGTTTGTGGAGTGCGCGGATCCCCAAAATCAGTACTTTGCGCAGATCAGATTCGCCATTGAACGGTACTTGGCCACCAAATCTGTTTAGTATTTTACTAGCTACCAAAGACCGACATGGAATCTCTAGCTTTCCCTGAACTATCCACCAAGAGATTATCCTAGACGAATAGTCAGAAGCTACAAATGAACCTATAGTGAAGACAACTCACTTCGCAAGATGAACCAAGACCTAGGTGAATAGTATGCCAAATGAACTAAGATAAATGAAGATTCAAACGACTCACCGGCATTGCCAATCCAACCAGGTTCCCAATAGACAAGACCAATTCCATGGTCATCAGATAAGTCCTCTAAGATTGTCTGTATGTCAGACATCTAGTAGCCTGTGAATTACATATCCTACTAGCATCATATTGAACATACCCAAGTTTCTTGTCCAGATGCAGATACAGAAATACTCTCTGTCAAGACGACCGAAGAGCACTCATAAGGCCAGTCGGTTTCAACAACCATTATGTCCTACGCAACTTTAGCAACCCTCCTTCCTGACTCCAGTATGATATGCTCACCTTCGCATATGTAGAGACCACGGTGTTCAGACTCGACTTCAGAGCCGACAAGGTTGCACCTTCGTCATAAAAGGGATAGAATGAAAACGCCATGACATCGACATCTTCAAGCTCCAGGGCGCCTTGATAAAAAATGTTCTTATAGAAATACAAGACACTGTCCTCGTCCCAGCCATTGGCCAGGTGAATCACGGTCTTAGTCGTTGACGACGCTTCCCGAACTGCGCTGACTGCCGAGTTGAGCAACTCAGAGAGCGGTTCGTAGCCATTGACTGATACCTCTCCAGTTGGCCAGAGAATACCACCGTTAATCTCGTTGCCGATCTAGACAGAAAGTTAACAAGGTTAAAGTTGATGTACGCAAGTAAGTATACCTGAATATAATCAATAGGTGTCCCTTGGTCAATGAATGCATTGACGAGATCAAGGGTGTATCTTTCCAGCACATCAATACATGTACACCATAAGGGAACTTGACTTACGTGTATATTGACGTGTTCAAGGAGTCCAAATCTTCATCCCAGGCAGAGGGAATTCCTGTATGAATGGTTACAACGATACGGGCTCAGTTTATCGCGGAGATAAAACCTTGTTTGGATGGGTCAGCCCCTTCGGTGATTATCAGCGGGGCACAAAAGCACTTCATATACTGTTACTTACACGTATCGCTATAATGCAAGTCAATCATCAATGCCATCCCAGCTTTGACGGCCCTTTTCGCCAGCGCAAGACCATAGTCTAGGCTATACTCGTCGTCGCTGTCACTAGTCCAAACCCGGATGCGTGCAATGTTGGCACCGTGACTGCTCAAGATCGTTTCAAAAGCTTTAGTGCTACCTCCGTCGGAGTAAGACGTCCCCGAGTTCTCCAAGTTGACCAAGGAAGAGAAGTCAGCACCGATGTAAGAGAGTGAATGGACCCCCATGCAGGGAGCCAGGAGAAGAAAAAGAATGGAAGAGAGCATCTTTTGAGAGAGGAAAGTCGATGGCCCTGATGTTATATAGCGTAGCGTAGAGATTCATCGCTGGCGAACGGCACAGTCATGGCAACAAGGAAAATATGATATTTGATCCGTGCCCTAGGAAGCGCAGTATGGACCATAACTAAGAACAGCACTGTTGAGACTGCAGCATGCGTTAGAAGATGGAAGGGAGCACTGCTATGAGAACGGACTTGAGGCTCCGAACACGCGACACTGGCCGCATTACGCGCCGCCGAATTGAATACAATGTGGGATAACCCTGGAGAATTTCGGCGCATCATGCATCACCAGCCAGCTGAGGGATGAGTCTCAAAGAGCCCAGAGGCTTGGCCCTGCCAGTAGAGGCGGAGATCACCCCCTACCGTGGGCCCGTCGTCACGCGTTCGACCGCTGTGGATTAACAACGGGTGATTAGAAGGGCCAGGTCGTCTTCTAGACGTGAGGTTCAAGTAACAGTGTATATACCACGGGAGATTGTTGGTGAATCCAAGCGCCTCGTACTAAGAAAGCCCATGATAGTGAGAAGCGACGAACAACGATTGAACAGCAATTGTCGGCCCGTGTTATGCCCAATCTGTCTTATTTATTTATTTATATACTGGGATTAAGTTGATTTACCAGGCGAATTAATTTTTTTGAACTATAACGCCTCTCATTGAACACCTCTGGACAAGTACACATGAATTTGTTCTATAGCAAGAAAACCGGTCGCGTAGTGTATACGATGCCGTATTAAAGAGCTCAAAGCTGCGTTAGAAGTAACCTCGGAATAGCGACAAGTTTAACTGGGGGTTCATCAGCGCCAGGAGTCCTTTACAACGGCAGCCACCTCACCAGGGAAGATTCTTTACGCCGTTATGAATTTGATGACCGTTGCTGACTATCGGTCGGTCGGCTGAGAAAAAAACATTCCGAGTTTCTGCTGATTATTGAAGTAGCAGCAGAGATCTTCCGAGACTATTACGTACACAACAATTACACTATCTACTTAGTAAAAAAATCAAGTAACCGAAAACCGTTCCTGTAAAGGATGAGACCGAGAATATCCACAGATAAGACCGACTCGGACGTACTCGTAAACTCCGCCCATGCATCTGCATGGCAGGAATAATTAGAACAAAGAGGCCCGCTACGATTCTAGAAAAGAAAGAAAAAAGTCAGGCAAAAGATTTCCTTTTTACTGTTTCCACTGGACATACGCGGCTTCGCAACCAAATGTTTGAAGGGCACCATGTTTTTCTGCCCAAGGAACTTGGAAATAGGCAACCGCAAAGCCTTTATTACAGTAGATGAGAAACTCAAGTAGCTATAGTAGATATTACATACCTCCGAGGACACGCACTAGATTTATCAGGGCACTGATTTCACCTTGGTGTTTCGGGAAGCAGTCGTTGCAATATGCGTCTGGCTGAATGTCGGTCCAAGGAAAGCGACGGAAGGTTGAATTACATACATATAGCCACGGTGTTGACCATGATAGCCAGCTCCGCAATACCCCAGCCCATGACGATACCAGTAGTATTGAGATGATTCTGTATCGATGCGCCCAAGGTGACGAAACCGCATATGTACAAAGGCAGAGCAATATAGCAAGCCCTTGAATCTGTTCAGTATAACATGATGATACCTAAAAATACAAACTCACCAAAGTCGACTCTCAGCTTCGAAGACACCATGATTGCGTCTGATACTCTGATTCATAATCCAATCATTCGTATACCGACCTGCCAGTTCACCCAAAAGTACAGATACCTACGAACTCAGCCGAGGGGTCAAAGCGAATAGGACAAGAACCTACAATCGGTGTACCATATGCTCCAGCGATAGCGTCCTGGCTCCAGCCGAACCCGACCGGTGGAGGGCTTCCCAAGAACACTGCATTCGTGACCTGCATGAAAAATAATCAAAATAAAATCAGAGACAGATGCCCACGCCGTACATTGATACCGATACCAAACCCAAATAAGATACCCTCGAAGAGCAGAATCCCAAGAAGGTGAGGCCGCCATACGACATTAAAGGGTGAGAAGATCGATTCCGTCCAAGATACTCGATACCTGGCCATTTTAACTCCGGTGATACCGATGAGCGTTTCGATTTTATAGCGAAAGCCCGTAGTGACTGGTTCTGGAATGGGTTTCACAGTTCGGTCATACATCCTAGAAGGCATTTAGTAGGGACAAGAAAATAATGGAAACATTGCGCACGTTTCGTCCATGAAAAGCGCGATTAGGACGCATACGACGGCACTATAGATGCAACCAATTCCGTAGGCCCACCTCCAGTTTTGTCGAGCAACAAGGAAGCCAAAAGCGAACGGAGAGATGAATGGGGAGACAATAAATCCCATTGTCCAGAAGTTGAGCTAGGTCGAAGCTCGGCGATGAGGAACGAAAAATATCATATTCTGTTGTAACTCTACCTTCCGCGCTTGAAGGTGAAAAGGATATAAATCCGTAACGATATATAATCCCTGGGAGAACTTCTTAGAAAATTCAACACGAGGGTCGAACAATATTCTATACCGTGACTTGAGGTGCAGTTCTACAGAATGCGTTCAGTAGAGGAAGAAAGACCAACAACAGACTCACCCGAAGAAAGCCGTCAAGCATCTCATTCCTGAGGGGTCATCTTTAATTGAGAACATTCAGAACGAACTGGATTTCCCACCAGCAAAAGTTGCCAGATCCGGCGCCAATGTACATCCCACGAGGAAGCCAAGTGCGAAGACCTGTATGAAGAACCAAGACATCAATCCACGGAGCCGTGCCCATAAATAAACCTTATCTCCACCTGCGACCAAAATAGAACTGGAAGACGCCCGTAGCGGCGAATGAGCATGACAGCGAATATTCCCCCCCACCCTTTGAACCGGGTATTAGTGGTGCATTAACCAGGATATGCATTGTGGACGGACCTAACAGGAAGATGCTCCAACTGGACGCGTTGTTATTTCAGCTCAGCAACAATTCAAACGGAACTAACCCCACTTTGATGTCAAATTGTTAATTACGCCGGTAGTAGTATCATATTGCTCAGCAAGCCGAAAGATGGACGCGATTCCTGCGAGAAGGCGTCGTCTGTAAGGGAAACGACAACGCAAAACACTATGAAGCTATCACCTATGCCACTGTCAAAGTCCGGAACGATAGCAGCTAACGTGATGATAATGAGGTGGATACTCTTGCGTGCGTCAGTCCAATTCTGGGGGTCGCGCGGAGAATCGGTCGGTTGAAGCCACAAGACTTTGGTCCCGTCCCGCGAAAGCTTAAGCTTGGAGGCGAAAACCTCGCCGAACTCGATTTTTGCCTCTCTGAGAAAGTATCAGCCAGAGTAATCATGATGTGGGAAAAAATTCGTTACACGGGATCAATAACGAGTCTACCTGCATGAAGTTCGTGAAACGTAGCGAGGTCGACCTCTGCCGTGTCTTCTTGAACTTGAAGGACGACACTAGGTGCAGAGTCACCTCCGTGCTTCTCAGAGTCGATATCGTGCTTATCGTGAACAGACATGATGGTGGTGTAGATATATTACCGAAATTCGCCATCATATATAAATGCTCGGCTCAAAGTTGCTATGAGAAGCACGCGCCAGGGGTGAATCTCATGGGGTTGTGCTACGTAGGTCAGATGGGAGGCGGTCCGTCGCAGTCGTCTCCCCAGAATGGGAGGAAGTTCCCGTCGATAATGCGTCTTTGTAAAGCAGGTCAGGCAAGCGTGAGAGAAGTGGCTATATTATCCTTGGCAACGATGCTCAGCGAGACTCGGGGGTTATAAGAATCCTGTATGGCTGCAAGATGTCGTTGAAGTCCGAGAGATAGGAGACAGAGGTCCCAAGCGACAAAGACAGGGATGAGGGAAATTTTTTATGCATACTTATCTAGTACGAATGCGGGGAAAAACCCTTGAATGTGGGGTAACATATGATCTGCATGGGGTCGCCTAGGTTCACATGATGTGAAATATGGACTTGATTGTGGACTCCATAACAAAAGTAGTTTAATACAACATGCATCAGTAACTGCTTTGTTAAGCTGATGAAGGACAGGGCTTACGGCATTTGTTCAGTGGAGCGGAATTTTCTCTTTCCGCGATTTTTCACAAGCTTCGAACATTCTGCGATTCCGAGGGTGAATTTCAAAGACCGCCGCCTGTGGTCAGTCACAGGTGATGATCCAAGCTTGCGAGGAAAACAAAAACCTGATCCAGCCAGGCAACCTTGGAAAAACACCGTGGCGGGAGGAAAGGAACATTGATTGGCGCGTGGCTCATTGGAGTAATGATTGAAGTCTGGCCAGTCGTGAACCCTGCAGCGAACTTGTTCAGTGAAATAAAAAGAAGTCTGGGGAAGACCTCGATCGACTGTCATCGAGTTAAGAACGTCAAATCGAAGGGACTGACCTGAGGGGCTCAAATCGAGGCTTCGCCATGCTTATAACCGTTAAACTTTATAAACTTACATTCATCCGGGAGGTAACGTAGCGTTTACAGACTTTTGTAACTAGTAATCGTGAAAAGACATTGAAAGGGCACATTAATTATGCCACAGAGAAGCGTTCCTGTAAAGGCACCCGTCATGAAGCAGGTCATTCCACAGATAAACCAGACATACTCGTAAACTCCGACCATATATTTGCAGGGCTGGTACAATCAGGAGGAAAATTCCCGCCACGATTCTGATCAAGAACATCAGAGGAAGAATCTCGTTTTCATGCATCCGATGTACATACGCAGCTTCACAACCGAATGTTTGGATTGCACCATGCTTTTCTGCCCACGGCACTTGGAAGTAGGCGACCGCAAAACCTTTATTAGAGTGCATTGAAACTCACACACATGACTTAGCTGTATAAAAAGTGTCTACGTACCTCCGAGAGTTCGTGCTAGATTGATCAAAGCACTGATTTCGCCTTGGTGTTTCGGGAAGCAATCATTGCAATACGCATCTGATAACATGTCGGTCCGAAGGAAACAGCGAAATCGGAGCAAGTACACACATATAGCCACGGTGTTGATCATGGTAGCCAGCTCCGCGATACCCCATCCCATGACAATACCACCAGTATTCAAGTGTTTCTCGATTGTTGCGCCGAATGCGACGAAACCGCAAATATACAGAGGTAGAGCGATATAACAAGCCCTATCATTGCACTCAGTATGATAAACCGATGTCCAACAAACAGACTTACCAAAGTCGAGACTCAGCTTCGAAAACACCATGATTGCGTCTGATACTCAGGTTCATGATCCAATCATTAGTATAGCGACCGACGAGTTCACCCAGAAGTACGGCTACCTGGATATATGGCGTACAAATGATGCAAATGTAAGTTAGGGAAGGAGGGAGACACGTACGATTGGGGTGCCATATATTCCGGCGATAGCGTCCTGGCTAAACCCGAACCCAACGGGCAGTGGGGTTCCTAAGAACACGACATTGGTAACCTATGACAAAGCAGTCGGATTGTCAGATCGAGATAACCAGACTGTGTTGAAGGCGCCGTACGTTGAGACCAATGCTAAAACCAAACAGGACACCCTCAAATAAGAGAGCACCCAGGAGATGGGGCCTCCAGAGTACATTGATTGGTGAGAGAATTGATTCCGCCCAAGATACACGGTACTTCGCCATTTTAAATCCGGTAATACCGACGAGGGTCTCGATCCTGTAGCGGAGGCCTGTGACAGGCGGTTCTGGGACGGGTTTCACGGTTCGGTCGTACATCCTAGGATGGGTTAGCGGAAGCCGACGTTAAACTGGGTCAGATTGCCTACGTTTCACTCATGAAAAGGGCGATTAGAATACAAACAACAGCGCTGTAGATGCAGCCGATTCCGTACGCCCACCTCCAGCTTTGTCGAGCGACAAGGAAGCCGAAGGCGAATGGAGAGAGGAATGGGGAGACGATAAACCCCAATGTCCAGATGTTGAGCTATACGACGGATTAAACATGAGAACTGATGTATTCTGTGCCTCTACCTTTCGCGCTTGAAGATGGAAAGGGTATAGATCCGTAACGATATATAATCCCTGTGAAAGATCTCAGAGAAGGCACCGTAGGGTACAAGAAATCTTTCATACCGCAACCTGGGGCGCAGTCCTGCCGACACAATGCTATCAGCACGGGAAGAAAACACCAACATTGGACTAACGCAAAGAAAGCCGTCAAACATCTCATGCCTGAAACGCTATCTTTAACACTGAAGCTTGACAACAAGATGAAAGTTCTCACCAGCAAAAGTTGCCAGATTCGGCGCAAAGGTACATCCGACAAGGAAACCAAGAGCGAGAACCTATCCGATGGTAGACATCATCAATGGAGGGTCCCATTTTTAGACCATGTACTCACTTGCGACCAGAATAAGATTGGAAGACGGCCGTACCGACGAATGAGCATCACCGCGAAGATGCCTCCCCATCCTTTGCCAAGCGAGAGAATTAGATAGATTATGCAAGTACATAATGCAGACTAACCCAAGAGAAAGATACTCCAACTGAAAGCGTTACTATTTTAGCACAACCCGGGATGATGGATCAAACGGAAGATACCTACTTCGATGTTAAATTGTTGATCACGCCGGTGGTAGTACCGTATTGCTCAGCAAGCGGAAAGAGGGATGCAATTCCTGTGAGAAGGGACAGAACATGAGGCAGCGAATTCCCAGAGTGTTAAGCAGAACTCTCACCTATGCCACTATCAAAGTCAGGAACAATAGAGGCCAGCGTGACGATGAAGAGGTGGATGCTCTTGCGGGTGTTGCTCCAGTTCTGGGGATCACGTGTTGAATCAGTCGGTTGGGGCCATAAGACTTTGGTCCCATCGCGAGAGAGCTTGAGCTTGGAAGCGAAGGCCTCGCCGAACTCGATTTTGGCCTCTCTATGGACGTGTCAGATTGTTGGATGGGAGAGAAAGGTTTTAAAGGCGTACGCTGGATCAATGACCAGTCTACCTGCGTGTAGTTCGTGGAACGTAGCGAGGTCGACATCGGTATCTTCCTGAAGGACGACACTAGGTGCGTCGTCTCCATGTTTCTCAGCGTCAACGTCGTGCTTATCGCGAACAGACATGATGGTTTGGGTGATCCTCTCCCGAAAATCACCACCATTATATACATTCAGTTCAAGTTAAATTTGAGAAGCCCACGTTCAGGGCAGATTCTCACGGGCTTACATTACACAGGTCAGACGGACATTCCGCCGCAGTGCCTCTTCCCATTGTTGGAAGATAGTGAACACCTATTTTGCGTTTCTCACACCGGTAACGAGGTGCTCAAGGTTTCGTCGTTCCATCGCTCTCAGAGGGGAGGAATGTTTTACCCAATCTTTCAAAGGGGTGATGGAACGTTTGCAGCAGGAATTCCACCAGAGATGACGGTCAGTATGGACCGAAGTTACCGGTATAATAGTCGGCCAGAAACCATATGCATATAATATAATAGCAAGCTTCGAGTAACCTGTTAGACTTGCGAGGAATGACGCGCATTTCGTACTACACCTGTGGTTGTTGACAGGGAATATAGGCTAATGGTATCGGCTGTCCCAGGTTCTTGGGGCCCAGGCCAGCGGTAGGTGAATCTTGGTAAGGTGTTGATGGTGGTACAAGTACAAGAAACGAATATTAGCCCTGAGCTTAGTCAGTACGTTACGGTCGGATACCGGACCGGATTGCCGTTTGCAAAAATTTCTTTCCGAGGCAAGTTGACCACGAACCGAATCGCTCTGGATGCTGGGATGAGCACGGAGCCTCCAAAATCCGGAATTCGCGCCGCTCTCGAGTACACCGGTATTCCCAAATCATGGCTCTCTAAACGACCCAAGCTGCCCTCGCGGAACTGGCTCATCTTCCTCACCGTCACGTCCTCTCTTACTGGCCTCTTCGTTTACGACCGCCGACAATGCAAGAAAATTCGACAAGAATACATAGATAAGGTCAAGCATCTTTCGGAGGAGACTCCAGACCATCTGTCATACCCTAGGAAGGTTACGGTATATGGAAGTAAATGGCCTGGAGATGAGGACCACGACCAGAGTATGAGATACTTTAGGAAGTACGTCAAGGTCCGTCGAATCCTGTCCGGCTCTGTGCTTACACTCATACTCAGCACACACAGCCTATCTTGGTCGCTGCCTGCCGTGGACTATGAGATGGTGAACGGAAAACGACATGGGGATCTCGCGACCCGTATCGCCGACGAGGTAAAAAAGCGACGGCGGTTAGACCTGGGTCTGGATAGTCCTGCAGACCGTGCTGGGATGCCTCCGCGGTATACGTGGCGCACGAAGGAGCAGCTGAGGGAGCAAGAGCTGAACGGGGGTATTGTTATCGTTGGGCGCCCGACGTGGAAGGGAGTTCATGACGGGCCTGAAGAATGGTTGGACAGAGCTGCTCGACATTGTTGACCACGATGAGGAGCTGTCGAAGGAGCTGGAGGCCGACGGGCGGTTCGATGAGCCCGACGAACCGATGGAAGGCGCGTTGTCTTCCCCAGCGCAGATGCATAATTCCCAGTTCTACGCTTCCTTACAAGCAAAGTCCTTCTTTGCCGCCGCCGTCACCCGCCTCTGCCATGGACGTCCCCGCCACTATCCCCGCCCTACCGCCAATTTTGCTCGTCTCATTCGTCGACTACGTCGGCATCAAACTGGTGCCCCACATGATATGGGACTGGATGAACCGCCGACACCACGTTCGCGCGGGTGCAGAGGCCGGATACCGACTAGTCATGGCTAACACGCGTCCCATCAACCCCCCAGCAACTAAACCTCTATTCTCCGATATTACCAACGCCCCCACGCCAGATACGGATGTTGATTTCGACAAGGCCATGGAGGGCTACTTCAAGAGCTCTTTACAATCAACTCCTTCTGATATCGAGCGGAGCCGGAAGAAGTATTACGAGCAGCTGCCGGCCAAGTTGGTTATCGCTCGCGAACTTGCGAGGAATGTTAGGGAGCCTACGTCAGATGAAGTCAAGTACCCGCCGCCGACAGAGGTCGAGTTGAGGGCGGAGCGGATGACGAAAGAGAAACGATGGCGGAAAGACCTTAGAGGATGGGAGATCGTCAAGCCCTCGCAAGAGGTTCCTTGGGATCCAAGGTTCGAAAATGCACTCACCATTTTTATCGACCCTCCGAAAGAGTCAGAATATAAGGAGGAACTCAGTGCTAATGATACTCAATCTAACTAATAGTATACATTGTTCGCCACTCAAATTTGAAAAGCTTGCAATATATTCAAGGTGCGCCTCTTGGTAAATTCCTAAAGCTAGATGCGCTAGACGTTCCTATTGTACAATGTTACATTTGACTCTTATTCACTACTATTTCCCGTGTTATCAATGAGATCTGCGCTTTCCTTTCCTTCATCGAACCGATAGAACGGAAAATCCAATAGAAGAGACGACTTCAACCATCTGGGAAGTGGTTTGTACACTGCAGGAGGTATGGGAATCAAAATCGAAGTCTCGTTCAAGTACGCCTTGTAATTATTCCACGCTTGATTGGGAGACTCTACTTCAGGTCCGTGGCTTATGAGAAAGAACTTCTTTGCCTGGGGTTTCTCAGCAGTCGGGATCCCGGAAGCGAACAACAGTAAACTGGAAGCGTAAATGTTTCAGAGCATGTTAAGCTGATTGCTTATTGGCCAACTCACAGCATAGTGAAGAGAGGCGACACGATAGTGGCATACTGTGCAGATTTTGCAGAAGATGGCAGTGACCCAAAAATCGTTGGAGACAGACAGAGGATAAAGATACCCCACCAACAGAGTATTCTGACACTCTGAGCGAAATGCAAGAAACACTCGAGATTACAACTCACTCTCCAAAATACGGCGGGTGTCGAGACCACCTCCATAAACCGGCCTTGTACGACATGTTAGACAGCCTGTGCTTATACTAAAGCATTGCTTACCGTCACCGGTTTATCCTTAGGATTCGATTTGTTGCTCTTATATCGAAACTAAGAAAAGATGTCAGAAGTGTCGCACATGATGGTAGAGCTAACTAACATACCTTCTGAATATCAGCGGTAGTCTCAATGATCCAACCGACGACCCAAAGGATTATACCGACGATATCACAAGCAGTACCAAAAGCCGGGTTTGAACCAGACCGCCTTGTATCCGAGATTCCGGGCGAATTGAGGATCGTAAGGGGAAGAGATACGGTCCACACCTTGAACTCGACGGTAAGCTAAACAAGCGGATTGCGCGAAAAATAAACCCACCCAAACTATCTGACCTGAAATATGGTTCGCCTTCAGAATTGGTATTAGAAAAACTAGACAATCACAAACCTATCCAGAATCCTAAACGAAATTATAAATATTAAAACAATCACTTTTATAGCAACTAGCGTACCGAGGAATTTGAAGAAATGTGATCGAATGTCGTCGAAGCGAGTATCTGATCCTGTCTTGAGAACGCGGTAGAGTAGGAAACCTGCGGTATACAGTTGGATAGTTTAAGACGCTGCAATAAAGCTAGTTACCTGCGATGCGAACAGCCCAAATCATGACGAAAATACTCGCCACAATATTACGAGCATAATATGTATTTCCCATAAGCAAAGTCAGAAGGGCTGTAGGGCGATGTTGAATAGAATCCAAAGCGAGTCTGTCATTCCTCACCTAGAAGGAAGAAATTGGAGCCTAGAGAGGAGGTCTGTCAGCAGGGGTCGTTGTTCTCCATGGACACACACCTCCAGTAAAATCCGTAATCTTGTCGAACTGGAATATCCATGCTATAGCAAAGCCAGAAAGCTGGTATGCAGTCGTCACCAGTACGGTGATTGCGAGATAATAGTGGTCAAGGACATATACAGGTGCCATGATGGGGATGGTGGGATGCACAAAGTATTTATAATCGAAGGCCCCAGTCTTGAGACAGTCATGACATTACTTAGCAACGAATCGAAGGGCGGTGATCAGATCATGGTGCTAGTGTTAGGAGTCAACGGGCCGGTGAGCCGCTTGTTATTATCCATCACCCTAAGATATACTGTATGGTGTCTGTATTATACATAGCATATGATACATCTATAGATATCAATCCATAACACTCCTACATTTCTTGTGATTGCATCACTTCGAAATACGCCGTGTACTCCTCCGGTGTCATCAATTCGTGGTCCTCTTCAGTAACCTTTGAGAACGCAACCGGTTTACCGTTCACTGTGGAGTTGAAGGTTAGAGAAACCAGCACTTTCTTTAGAACGAAGACAGCGTACCATAAACGATGGGATCATTATCCGCATCCATTGGCACAGGTTCAAGTTCAGCCCCGTTGTTTGAAAAGTCGCCATTCATGACATACGACGTCGCTGCGTCTTCTACTTTAGGGACTTTAATCTTCCCTGAGGCACCTTCGTCTTCGCGGGACCGGGACCGTTTCCTATAATCGTTCAATGAATCAAGATATTCAATATTCGGCTTTCGGTCTTCCTCCTCGTCCGCCCCAAAGTCGTCAAAGTCGGAGCTGCCGGGAGCACTGAGACCAGAAGGTGTAGCTTGGGCAGATGCCGCAGCAGATGCCGCCAGTGACGCGTAATACTGCTCGTAATCTGGCTGGACGTTAGCAGAAAATGGGATTGGAGAAAAAGACGCTCACAGTCAGCTTCACGGTTGATGGTTGGCTTGACGTCCTGCTCAACACTGATGGTCTCCTGCACACGATCTGGGCGCATTCCCACTACCCCCAGTCCTCGCAAGATATCATCGTTTGAGCTAGGCGTCGCATTCCCATTGGCTGCTTCTGCCCTAGCATTCTCTTTTACGCCTAACGCGGTGAGATCGCCTGTAATGGTACTCTTCAGATGCCATGCCGGTAGTGCATTCTGTTGCCTCTTTGCCTCGGCTTCCGCGTCCCGTTCTTGTTTCCGCGTAGCCTCATCCTTGTCTGTAGAGATGACAACGCCAATGCCATCCTCTTCCTTCTTGTTGGGATCTGAGCCAGCAATCTTGAGACCTCCGCCTGCTTGAGTGGTCTTCTGCTTTTCTGGGTCAATAGCATTGCTCTGAACCCATGCCGCTACATCAAACCTAGACAAAAGGTTAGTCCACAACAGTGAAGCAGCGCCAGGTCACACGCACGCTGGCAACGTCATCGCCTCGCTCTTCTGCAGCCCGGCACGGATGAAGCGCATTTGGTGATGGAACCTCAGCATCCTGTCTTTGCTGCCCTGCTCATGGTCGGCGTCCTCATTGTCGATTATCTCCGCTTGGCAGATCTTGCAAACCATTATGCCACGAGTAAAATCCATTAGCTGATCGGCGTCCAATGCGCTATATGATTCTTTACATTGGGGGCAAATGTACCCCTTGTTGCCGAGTTGCTGTGGCGCAGTGAGTATATGTATAAACAAATCTGAAGGACGTACGTTACGGAGCTTGGAATCAATTTTGTGGTGCATCTTGGCAATCCTCCATTTCACTACGTTGCAGAAATGCTCGTAGTCAATGTAGTAGTACTGTTTGCCGACCGCTCGCTGAGCGCCTTCCCTCAGCTCATTCTGCCTGTATCTACATCGAACATTAACAAGGTCCCAGAGGTGAGACAAAGTGGCATGAACATACACTTTGACCAGTTTGTCATTCGACAAGACAGCGACAATCTTGTTAAGCTCCTTGGACTGCAGCCCCAGCCGACTTGCCAAATCATCATCCTTGAGACTGTCCAGAGAGAATGGTGCGGTAGTAAGGGAAGAACACGAAAAAGATGCATGTTCAGCATCTACAGAACTCATCTGCAGTGCCAATACTTACACTGGATGTCGGGAAAGTTGATCCATGATGATGATATACCGAGGCTCGTAGAAAGCTCGAGAGACATGTAGAACAAGGAGCCGTAAGGTTTCTTGATCCTCTTTAGTCGCCATTCTAGCGCCCGACGAGGGCCTATAAGGCCGTGGATCCGAAACCGCGGTACAGTTCGCGAACGAGCGTAGGCGAAAGCTGTGGTGTAGTGGAGAAAGAGTAGTCACGTCACAGCAGGGTGTGACAGACAGTATTTGCCTTGTTTGCGGCCGGCCGAGATTGTGCTGGACCTTTGCCTCTTCCGGTATATTCGGTCCGATATTCTAGACCGGCGACGCGACTTTGACAACGACCACGTGAATCAAAACTGCCCGACAAACAAAATCGGTACGTACGTGTTCTACTTATTGCTCGAGCGTTACGCACATATCGACTCATTTTGCACCCAGTCCCGTGAGACCTTGTTGGCTGACGACTAGTGTTTCGATAACGTGACTTGGCGCGGCTCGGCCCGACTCTATTCGGCTTCGGCTTCAACGGCTTCACCAAGTCATAATTTTTGATGGCTTTGAAGCTAAGTTGCCGTCACGCCGCTCCAGCCGGTCAAGCTATGACTTCATGCATTTCCTTTAAATGGAAGCTCATCAGTAGATTTTAGGTAACGTAATATTCCAGAAATTTCGGAGAAATTGCGGGAAAAAATCAAAGTCGACCTAAAATAGCATTTCGGTATTTTTTACTCAAGTCGAAGCTCGGGCAACTTCAAGTCGCGCTAAGCCGCGCCGAGCCGGTACTGTGGTGTGACTTTGCCGAAGTCATTCGGCAACATCGGCGTGACTTAGTTCGGCTTGACTGGCGTGGCGCGCGGCTTTAAGCCGAGTCATCGAAACACTACTGACGACAGTGATAGTCGATTTTCAAGCTATCTTTATCTTTATAGAATTTGATAGCAATGGTAAACAGTCGCTAGCTGTATATCTCTTTCTATTTCTACCTCACAATGCCTCTTCAGATCAAACGGCGACAACAGATGACCCGTAATGCCATTTCGACGTCTTCCATCTCTCTCAAAGACGTCCTCAGAGAAAGGGAGAATCTCAACGTTCCATTAACTCTCAGTGTTCTTGATCGCGAAATGCGCCTGCTTCCTGGCCCTCCAACCCACCTTTATACCGGCGCAATGCGATCCAACGTTCCCAGGTCCACTCTGAACTTGGCTGCAAACTGCATGACGGCCGTATTTTCCCTAATAAACGGCGAACATGCCCTTTACCCAGAGCTCGTCGAGCGTGTCGATGAACTTTTGACGCATCTAGTACCATGGATGACGTGGAGCCTTGACTCTTTCATTTCGACTCCTCAGATTTTCATCCCTATATACCCGCCAGTCGAAGGAAACATATGCGCGAACATCCGCACCGCAACCGCTCTTTGCGCTTGTCTCATCATAGTGCCTTATTACTTCCCCCGACTCTTCCAAACCCTCCCTTCGTCCAGTCATTTCCGAAGTATCACTTCTTTAATGCCCAGAATGACGCTAAAATGGATCTTATGTGCGGAGCTGTACTTCCATGAACCAGAAGACATTATTCACGTGACAATGAAGGGCTTACTATCGGGTCACTGCGGCGAGAAATACAAGAAACAACTTATCCAAGTGCTGCAAGTCCTACCTGCAGATCGCCTCACTTCCTGTGTTCCTCAGCTCATATCACTCATGCCAAGCCATCACGACACAGCATGGAAGTCCCTGCTCCTCAATGCCTCGGTGGTTAGGATCGCCGGCTCTCCACTGAGCATGCCAGCTTCCCTTATAAACGCTTTCCTCTTTAACCGCTCAGTTCATTGGATGTGTCAACTAATCCGCCGCGTCCAACTCGCTGACAAACCTCCCAAAATCATCCCTTATGCAAAACACATTGTCGATATCTGTTTTGAATACCTAGAAGCAATATTCCTAACCAGTGAACCGCGATGGATTGTGCAGGCCATCGATGGTGGCTTACTCGCATGCATATTCGCAAATGATGAACCTTCGAAAACCAGCGACTTGATCTTGGAAATAATAACCGTTAATCTCGTTTGGCGTACGATTCTACGTTCCACGCACAGAGCTATGAAGGACGTTAAGCCTGTATCAACAGCCGCTTGGCAGAAGTTTATGGCAGGCATTTCCAACAGATGGGGCGTTCGTAATCATATCAGCGCAGGATTCAATCTATGTGGAAATGAGAAAAAGGTACTAGGATTGGATGTTATCTCTCTTTACTGACTTTATCTTTAGTGTCCCTTGCCTCCCGATAGACCTGTCTGACTCCAACGATGCGTAGGATGCGGCATCGCCTTTTGCTCGCCGTCGTGCCAAAGGGAAGCTGGGGAAGGCCACCGGCGTATCTGCAGAAATCAACGGCAGAGAACGGAAGGTAGGTAAGAGGTAGCTACCCGCCTTATGACGCCGCTCACGTACTGGCATCTTCACAGCTGGATATCCCGAAGACTTTTCTCACCGAGACCGCATCTATCTCCAAGTTTTCATCGGGGGCACGCTCGCGAAGGAACAAACTCTGATGGAAAGGAAGGTCTTTGAATACTCCCAGGACACCCCCTCCGAGACGGTTTTAGCATGCTTGGACTACACCTGTTATCCCAGTTCTATCTCCATTGCGTCCTTCGAAGAATTTCGGCGGGTCTATGTCGATAATCACGATTTGCTTGAGGCAGTCGCGGAGGCCGAGAACGCTGTCTCGACGAAAGGCGACGACGAGAAAACGAAAGGTATACTGTTGGTGACGTTGATTCCTTGGGCAAACCGACCTCGTGCGGCTATCCAATGGCTCGAATTCTGTCTTCTGCATGACGTAGGATCTTTTCAGCTTCTCCAAGAACCGGTACCCATGGATTCATACATTTTGACACGGTAACAGAGGATGGAGCGGATGGACTCTTCGGATGTAGCAGGAATCTGTGGTTCTTTGCTGGGACACTTTCGCACGGGCTCGTATTATCGATATCTGGATCAAATAGCTGGAGTACGCTGTCCGGTGCTTCTTGCTGTAACGCCTCCATGTTAAGCTAATCAACGAGTTCTTGGCTCTAGCTGTCAATGATTAATATTTACGATCAATCGGTTAGCAACGGACTTCTACAAATATACAGCTCGGCTTGAACCAAATACAACAAATACAATATATATGAATATACAAGCAAACATTCTCAAGCACTCTGAGAGGGAACGTTGGAATTGTCGCCGATAGCTCGCTTCCACATCTCCCAGTATTGACTCGTATGTGAACAGCCTGGTGTCATCTCTAGAGTGTGAAAGGCAGCCGGAAGTAGTTTCTCCAACGCCTAGAATACTTGTTAGAAAGGTAACGAAGAGCACTTGTCACTCTTTGACGAACCTTGATCCTATCTTCCCAAGGAGGATGAGTGTCCTCTTTCTTCATGTTCTTGAAAAGCCTGCCGGACTGATGCTCTCTAGTTTCTATGAGCTCCTTGAGAGATAAATCCATATCATGAAGCCGTTTGATTGTTCTGTAAGTCTGTCAGTATGAATTCAGCGCACGGATCTCCCTGCATACGAAATAGCCGCAGTTGGATTATAACAGGCGCGAGACATGAACAGAAGGCCTAGAGAATCAGCTGGAAATTTTTTGTCAAAGATACCGGGATGGCGCAATTAGTAGGCTGGACAAACCTTCGTATTCGTGCCATTGGAAAATATCCCTGTAAAACCAGGTCAAAAAACTTCTTGACAGGTTAATTTGAAGAAGACTGTTCTTCTCCAAAGCATGTTCGGCGACTGGAATGAACCCCAGTTAATACGATGAAGGCGATAAAGATGCCTTACTCTCATGAGCAATCTCTATGATCCATTAAGACAAAAGCCAACTGAAATATCATAGTAGCTCACCGTGAGCGAGACACGAAGCTATCATATCGGTGTTCCGCAAAAGGTTGAACATACTCGCAGTAATCGTGATGATTCTGGTCCCTGATACTCTCAGACACTTGAGCCCCCGAAGGAAGATAACATACCTGACAGTACGCAGGCATTAGGCAGAGGCCCGTCAAGCACATACATTCTCCATTCGCGATCTTCAAGAAGGGAATCATTCTCGTCTTCGCTGTCTTTGATAGTGTGTCTGGGACCAAGACGGCCAAGATCAGATGCAGATAGAATACGAGACACAATATCTGAGCCAAGTTTGGACAGCGGATGATTGGGAGGAAGGATCTTTGTACGCGAGGTCGGTTCCATGTAGGACAGTAGCTCTTCTCGGGCCGACTGGACAAGCTGGACGGGCGTGAGTCAATCCCCTGCAAGCGCCTTTTTGTTGCTTGCTCACCTTGGCCTGAATTTCTTTTCTTCTCGCGACCTTTCTACGTCTTCGGCCCGTAATAGGAACCTCTTCCCAACTACAACAACACAGTCAGAGCCGCATTTTTAACGACAATTCCATATAGTACTTCTCCGGCTTGGTGGTTTCTTTGTATGCCGTATATACGATTCCAACGGTGGCTATCATTGCGACAGGTAATGTCCATCGTCGTGTTCTTGCGAAGCCAGCTTTGGGTGGTGGAGGGCCCGTATTGTGCAGGCTACGTCCGCGTCTGGCGATCAAGTATTTCAACGCATTTGAATGTCGACAAGAAGAAAGAGGTGCAATGTTGAATAGCCTAGGCCGCAGCATAAAAGCGAGTCAAGGATTGTACGGCAAGTAGTAGTAGTATTCGGTTAACGACCGGCAGAGAGGGCCGTATATGATCACGCACCACACTTCGGCACACGCCGCATAGACGGCAAGGCCACGGTCACGTTTATCTGTACCAAATGTTCGTTCCCCTATTTCCTTTCTAATCCCTTCTATGGCCATGTCCCTCGCCCAGATAATATCATCCCTGGGCCCTTTCTCCTTCAGGCAATTGCCAGTGAATTAGAATTTAACCCCACCTTGCATACTAGAAGGCTCTAGAGAAGCTATTAGGGTGCACAAAATAGTCACACAGAGCGCTTGTAATGCATCTATTTCTAGGTAATGTTCTCTGATAGAGACGCACCACTACCCTCCTGGACCATTCGAGCATGCTTACAAAACTGTCACGACCCGCGATGGCAAAATTCACGTCCTTTTCTCTCCATAAGATGTCGAGTCAAAACTCATAGAAGTATGTCGCCTACTCAATGTCAGTTCGCCTGTTTCCAAGGGCTCCTCTTTTAATCAATGGCTTGCATTGCTAGGAATATTTACCTCAGGTTCGCCCGGACACTGAAGACGTCTTCTGGCTCTCCGCGTGGTTCCATAATCCCTTCGTCAATATCCATCCGTTCCGGGTGAACTTGAGCCTCCTCGCACACACCAGAGATATTGACCTAGTTAGGACGGAAATGGATGAGTAACCAGAGCACTAGTTTCCTCCATTATCGGACGTTTCAGCTTCCTCCCGTTTCATGTTTCGACAGAAGGCAAAGAATCATATTTGACTGCGTCGTCACGAGCGCATAAGTACTTCCTGTGCACTTAATGATAATAGGCCGACGAAGGGGATCTCTGCCCTTTGGCTGATTTCTTTTTCGTTCGTGAGCAACTCTTGGCCCATCTTACCGATAAATGCGATCTTCCCGCCAAGCGAGGTCATCCGACACAGTTCAGACGGAATATATTGCACCAGGTGGACACTGACCTGTCAGAGGCACTGTCAAAATTGGCAGTACGTACTATCAAGTAGTGCAGAAGGTACCGAAGTGCCGAAAAACAGAAGCGAAGCAGGGTTCAGAAATGCAGATGCTTCATGATTCACGCCGACGTCTGAAGATCGACGAGAACCCGAAAGAGACATAATGGGTGTAGGGGAACGAACATCTGTGCAGCGACAGCACTCCGGTTTCTGAAAATCTGAGAGGCGACTACGCGCAATCCTCAATACCAAGGTTGCGTGTTTTTTTGAGTAAGAATCAGTGGGTATTTGAGCTGTGATACATGCGATGTACAGTTAATGATATTGCAGTGGTACAGAAATGCCAGGGTGAGTCCAAACAACGAAACAGAAAAAAGCATCGAAATAAATACACGATAGCAAGGCGACAGCGAGCACAACCAGAAGATGACAATCATAGACCGAGACCGGTAAGCGCAGCCAGAGCAGTCTTCATACGAGAGACAAATTCGTTGAGGCGTTCCCGCGTTTGTTCTGTAAAGAAGACGTGTCAGTGACGCACGACTTTGAAGGGAAGATGTAAGCCGGTAGTTTTATTTGCTATGGAGGAATGACTCTTACCAAAGATAACGGAAGGAAGGGACGACAGAGAGAACGGCGACATGCCTTGCTCCTTCTCGACCTCCATGACTTGGGATATCTTCTTCTCAAACTTCTGCACCGCAACCTGACTTTCGTGTTTGGGCCGTGCCGATGCCCAGGCATGCGTTTCGAGGACCACGTCCAGCAACATCGCGCTAAGTTCTGCCGTGTATGTCGTCTCCACATAAGCATATATGCGCCTCAAATCAACGACAGACCTTGAGAAAAGGCAACATCTCGCGCAGATTCTTCTTCGAAGGGCTTGACTACGATGGATTGGTGGTCAAACGATGGAAATGTTTGTCCGATGATTTCTGTCAGAGGACGGTCGCGATGTTGCTGTTGGCTGAGCTTGGACGATCCGTCTCGAGGGGTGGAGGAGATGGAGGACGCTTCGCCAGTATCATGGGTCTTTACTTGGCTCGACGTCGTTGTCGTTGTCGCCGAGGCTTTTGACGGGGCAGACATGATGGTGGAAGAGAAGTGACGGTGGATATGAAGTGGCCGGTAAGCCCGGGAAATCTTATCTAGCTGAATTTGTCAACACAACCAAATATGATCGCTATATAAAGAGGCGCCGCCCCCTAATTCTTTTCCTTACTCCCGCAGTTGGCTCAATGCCGCGATGCTCGTTTCGTACAGAACCTCACCGTTCTCTCTTGCGAGCGGGTAAGGTCTGAGCATGCTGTCTCCCTCGATTGGCTCTAGCTGGGTCTGGCCGTAATAGCCAAGCAACGTACCAGACATTTCCCTCCGTCGCTCTTTTTCCCCAAGACACTCCTTTTGGGGCGAGGGATGAGCGTCGGACGGGTTGAAAGTCGTTGCGGAGACTGGGCTCGTGTGTTTGATGCATCCATCCGTTGTCTGGAGTACTATCGGCGTCCGGGTGTACCTTCGGGAACGCTTGGAAAGTCACATTCGTCGGGCTGAGCAGCTGCTAGTCTTTGACGAACCTTTCCAATGCCGGATGCCAACGTTGACTGCCTTACCCTGCTGTGTGCCCCCTTGGTCTATTTGCCTATTTGCCTGCCGAGGCCCTTCTCCGTCGCCCGTGGCCTGAGTAGCTCTGCATCGCGAGTGCTCACCGGGTGTATGCTCTTTTTCGCGCGATCCGCGTTTACCGCTCAGAATGTCAATAATCCGTATTGCATTTACCTATTACACTGCCAACCTTGCGGTGGCAGCAGCAGGCGGTCCGAGGCAGGAGGCGTTGGTAGGACGTACGAGGGACATCTCTTGACGGTTGGACCGGTGTTCGCATCCGGGTCCTTTAGCGCACTTTGTGGCGCGTCACTGGGCGTCCTATACCGACCTTCGGGTTTGGTTGGACGTCCGTGGCGAAACTCGATTCAGACTATTCTGGGTCAACTGGATCGTGAAAATTTTTTGCTCTGCCAATCTCTTCGGAGATTTTTATTCTTTTGTTTTTTTTTCGGAGGTATGTTATGTGGATTCCTTGCCTTCAAGTGCTGTCACTCACATCAAGCTTCCAAGGCGGCTAGTATATACCTATTCAATTGTAGAGTTCCCTCGCTAGTGTTTATCCGTTGATTAATTATTTGAGATATTGTCTGTAGATATGAATTGAAAACTAGGGGGCGGCAAGCCAAATCACTCTTTCAAAGACGCTTGGGATCTATGGCCTTCAATATAGCTGTGCGATGATTTGTTAATACACGACGCGAGATGCCGTAATCGGTACTCTTTCCTTCTGCCCATCATCTGCCTATCCCGTCGTTCGTAGCTATCTTCACACAAAGCCTCAGCTCGGGCTCTCACTTTCTCCGTTCTTTGCAAGGTAGGGTTTCCCTTTCTTGAATCGCCGTTTGCCCGGTATTTAATTTCTTTATAGATGGCCGTTCCCTATACCTGTACAACCTGCGACGAAGATTCTACACCCCCGCCATTGACGCAATATCTCAATATCTCTAAATCGCTCGTCAATTTCCCGGGTAACGACATGGCGCTATCATCGTCTGCAGCTTCTTTCCTTCAATCTGTCCTCAACGCCGAAGCAGAACTTATTCCTTCCCAGAAGAAGAACTATGGGATTTCCTCGCTTAAATTGCAGATCAAGGGAGCACTTTCACCGATCGGACGCCTCCCGACGGAGATCTTCATTGAGATTTTTCGTTGCGACTTCACCATTGACGCGTTTGACAGCTCCAAGGTGCCGTGGACCCTCGCACAAGTGTGCAGCACTTGGAGGGAAATCATAACCGTTCATTGCCCAGACCTATGGTCCTCTATCACCGTCAATTCCTACGCTTATCGTCGCAAAGACCCTGTTTCCCTTCTGAAGACGGTCCTCAACCGGTCCGGCCAGAGCGATCTGCACATCGATTTCTGGGAGATTGGCATCGAGAAAAAGATCGCCAAACAAATGCTTGATCTCCTGTTCAACGTGTCGAATCGCTGGAGCAACATCGCCTTTGACCTACAGCCCAGTTCTTTATCATCCCTTTCTGTCGTGCGCGGACGTGTCGACAGGCTATCCAAACTTTCTCTCAGCTACCATGGCCACGGGCAGCCTCCATCTTGCATTGATGCTTTCGAAATTACACCGCTATTGAGCGATGTCAACATTTCCGTTGGGAGAGATGATGATGTAGTTACCATTGTTCCCTGCGGATCTGAGAGCCTCCAGCTTTACCACTACGATCGTGCATACGGTGATGTTGATTTGCACAGAGCTCTTCTAGATACTATCCTCAAGTCTCCGAACCTCAGCACATTGCAGGCATCCTATCGCAATCGCACCACTGTAACTCGGCCATTCAGTACACGTATCAACAGCACGTCTATCAGGTTCCTCCAAGCGTTTGAACGTGATCTTCTTGACAGTCTTTCCCTTCCGGCGCTAGATACTGTATGGCTTGGACCCGATAAGCTCTGCCACACACTTTGTCCCGAAGATACACTGCCGTCATTGCTACGCCTCATAACCGCCTCTCACTGTTCTCTTACTCGTTTGGTACTAGCAGAAATCGATATCAGCCATGGACTTATCGCCATCCTCCGACATGCTCCAATGCTGGACTCCTTGGAGTTGTACTTTGCCTGGTGGAGCAACTCTCTGGATCGGGCCATGCAGCTTTTCGTTACCGCGATGATGGAGTCGAACGCTGCTCCAGCCACTAGTCCTGGAACTCCTTTTCGACCAGCAATCTTACCCTGTCTAACTTGTTTCAAGATCGAAATACGCGATGTCTCAAGATTTGGAATGGTGCTCTTTATCAACGACATGTTTGTTCGAATGTTGTCGATACGAAGGACAATGACGGCTGATAAGGACAACAAACTGCTTCAAACTGTAACAGTCTCTCTCTTCCGAGGTTCGGTTCTTCGTATGGCGTTGGATAGCGATTTCCAGGCTTTGAGAGATGGGGGGTTGAACTTGACAGTGTCGCTATCTGAGTCTAGCCCTGGTATGACTCCCACCCCCTACTAGTTTGGTCGTATCTATGTAAACATTTCAGTACTTCCTATGTGTATAGTCAATTCCTCCCACGACTGGCTAATGCCGCGTCAAACGATTTCACCACCGGTGGTTCTTGGCCAGACTCGCCGTATCAGTTGGGTAGCCATGATAAGAAATATTCTAGTGAGTATTTAGAGCATAGACGCTAAGTGAAGTCTCAAAAGAGTTATACCCAGCCCATTCTCAGCCTACCTACGGCCCCATTCCTCTCTGGTTCTCACCGCAGACTAAGTAGTTTGCACTTCCTCGCAGAGACCGAGAACCGGATGGCGCACCTACTTCACTGACTAGTCGCATCGATGCACGAGTTGTGTCATCCGACCACTCCCCCAAATACGTGTACAAATATGTGGCAGGCCGGCAATAGGTGATAGAAGAGGTCGACCTATAATGAGCGAGCAGATATCTCGACTCGTCAGTTCTGTCGAAGAAGAGTACCGACATGGCGCTGAAGATGAGGTCATGGCGGATCCCAATATGGAGTGGAAGGATATGGCAGGTCGGTGTTGTGAGGTTTCTGATGAAGACAAACAGGAGGACAAGAGTTTGAAATCAGAGATGAGTCGGATGATGGCGATGGCGATGCGGCGAGGCAGCACCTGAGAAAGGCAGTAGCACGGGTTTTCGCAATCAACAAACCTTTATACATAGCAGCGACTGCGTGTACCCTTCATAAGAGCAGTCCTTTACACCCTCTCAGGTAGGCACGATAACGACTCGGTTTAAGAAGAGCTAGTACAGTGTGTACTTAAACAAGAACATTTCGACACTTTTTCATAATACGCAGATCCTCTAACCGCCTCCACTCATCTCTATCGGGAATTTCCAACACTGACACTTTCTCAAACCTTTTCCCTGGCAGTCTTCGGCCGATAACGCAATATTGGGATAGCCATCCACCAGCGTAAAACAGTGTGTAGGTGTCGTCAGGTATCGGGTACTCGTGGGTGGCTGTGACATTGAATGCATGTTCTGTCTCACCTGCGTCTTTAACGATCAACTCTCCGTGTCGATCACTCCCTTCCACAACAGCCAGCCCCCGCACCAACCCTTTTTCAATGCACTCCGCATCGCACCAGTCTTCACCCATCTCCTCATTCCGATCAACATAGATGCCGGGGTCAGTATCTGCGGGCAGATGCATCATCATCAGCTGGTCCCACGATGGTCTCCATTTTGTGCCTGCATTGCCCGGTTCAGGATACGAGAGGAACAACCGCCCCCGACTCCACACAGGCACCAAATTGACAAGAGCTGTCCATGCGTCCTCGAAAGACTCGCTCTCATAGTATGCTGGTATCGACCGGGACCGCACAAGAAATGCCAGTCCCGCGACTTTGTCCACCGGGTTGGTCGACACCCGCGTCTGCATCTCCTTCAGCACATCAAACACCTTCGTATTTGAAATGTCCTCCGTAGACCGCAGCTGCTTGTGAAACCTGGTCAGTAGCGCAGTCTTGTACTTCCTGTTCTTACGCTTGGCATGCAGTGGTCCGTCCGGCGTGTCCCCAGCAATCACCCTCCTTATGCCAACCTCCTGTAGCGTCCATGCACGCCTAAACCAGCAGCGATCACTATCCAAGTCGCCCTCCTTCAAAGTCAAAGGCCGACCCAGCCCACTCAAGTAAATCACCACATCCCAGGACGCATCATACACTGCTCCGATGGTGGGCACATCCAGCTTCCACTCTTCCACACGCATATCCTCCTGCTGTCTACCTACCTGTCTCAAACAGAGAACATCCAACCACACATATTCTGCTCGAAGATTGAGCATCTCAATGCGGACAAGGTTGAGGCTGGCGTCTTTCGGCATGGGAACAGGCCATTCGCATCCGTTGATGGGTGTCGACATGTTGACACGATGCGTCTCATCCATCCAAGCATGCGATATTGGCCTAAGCCTCCACACCATCTCACGAGTAGGGATGCCCATGCACCAATATGGCACCACCCGATTGCTGCACAGATCCCACACACGTCGAGGTGGCAAATCTGGTTTGACGATCCGGTTACCGACGAGCGCTTTCCGTCGCATCTCCCGGTCTGCCTCTTCCCATTCGCGCAATGTGTCTCGTACTGTGCTCCAGTTGCGGGTGTACCATATCCGGCGGAGGCGGCTATATGCCATGCCAAAGTTCCAGTTCTTTGCGATGCACTCTTCAAGAAGGGAGGAGAGCGATGGAGTGTCCAGGGTGTGTGAGGTTCCCAGTGTTGTGTTGAGTTGACCCAACATGCCCTGAATGCCCAGGGTAGCGCACTGAGTGTCGGCAAGGTGGGATGATATCACAGGATTTCTACCGGTGTACACCCGTTGCTTTGGAACGGTGATCGACGATTCCTCTTGGCCCGTCTCAGTGAAAGCGGAGATGGTGACCTTAGGAAGGGAGATGTTCTGGGAATGGTATCAATTTCCCCTCTGTTTGTTTGTCGACTCTGACTTACCTTTGGTGGATGCCAAGGTTCATCATCATCATCAGACTCACTGGAAGATATATCATACTCGGACCAATCGGACGATGTATCAGACTCGGAAGCATCTTTCGAAGGTTGCTCTTCCGCGGTATTAGTCTCCAAATCCACTGCAATGGATGGTGATTCTGGACGCGAACAGGGCGACGAGTCTGGTGTCGCCTCCAAAACAGGACCAACATCTTCTGAAGTGTGACTACCATGCTGCTCTTGCAGCTCGGACGAAGTGGTTGTGTTGGAACTTTTGTCAAGTTCAGGTGTTCCGTCAGGAGATGGATCCGGGAAGTCAAAAAGACGGAGCGTATGCGTTTCCAAATCGACATCACACCGCCGAAAAGCGGTTGGACCTTGGACAGTGTTAACGTCGTCGTAATGAGTACTGAAATCGAGAAGGATCAATGATACATACTATTTCTCATTTTCTATGCTTAGAAGGGTACGCAGGGAGTCGAGGGAATGTGAAACGAAAAGGCGTTTGCTTTGATGCATCACAACTTGCAAATCACGGCCCAAATCTTCCCATGCTGTTGTATGTAAATAACATGGTAGTCTTCGCTCTACCGATCTCTTATGTAAATACTTTCCCTTCGATTAACTTGTTTCACATAAATCAAACAGGTTAGCTTGGAGACTGGGGTCAGCTTCATTTTTTGCAAGGCCACGATCCCATGAGCAGATACATCGGGAGAGTGGGTGGTGTACAACTCTGAGGCGTCTAAGGGAAATCGAGATTAGCAGTACTGGCGCTTGTCATTTTTGGGCGTAGTTGTCAGGTACTTTCGGCGCTTCGATATCAGCGAGCGTAGCAGCAGTCTCTTCAAAGCTAGCTCAGGCCATCCCGCCCTATACATTGAAAAATGAACCATTTTTGAAGTTGGTGTTCCATCAAAGTGGTAAATAACCCGGGTCCATCTACACAGAAGTGGTACCACGTCATTGGACTGGTAAAGATACGATGCTCCAGGCTCGTTCCGCACGAGTGCCCCGATGGGGAACAAATTGTGTAGTACAGTATACACGGCGATGAAACGCCGCTGAAGTCAAAATCAGACGAAGACAATAGTGAGTTTGACAAAGATCATACCTGATACCCGATAGTGCCGTCGAACGATGGACTCGGCGGACATGGTAGTAAAATCTACGACAGGATCCTCGTATGTGATCAGCAGTGTATGAGCTACCTCCTCTCCTTCCTGCAGAGATGACTGCGTAAGAAAATGATTAGTAGGCCAATTACACTATCTGAAAGAAAAATTCACGGACATATCCCATAGTACATATACCGGAAGTTTGACTCCTTGCAGGGCCAGTCGAGTCTTGTACATCGTGTATAGTGAAATAGCCTGTACAGTTGGCATCAGAAACAAAAAATCGCAAAAACTTTACTTGTATCCATCCTGTCAGACCCACACGTCGCTAGCATCCAATCCCCCTTCCTCTTGCGCATGTTAACAATAAAACATCATTCCCCGATTCTCCATTCAAACTCGCGTGTTGCATCAGTGCTGGTCCGCGCAATCTTGGAAGATGGGACGGGTGGACGTTCAGTCTCTTTGTCGGGGCAAAGTGGGTCTGATAGTGCCATAGATGTGGTATGACAATAGAAGAGCGTGCCGGTATTAGTTTGCCGATCTTCATGAAAACTGTCCTCTTAGCCCTGTACGCGCAAGGGTCTGGCTTGCGAATCACCCTCTCCGTTCCTCTCTCCCTTGCAAACGTTTTGTGACGTCAAGCTCGCTTCTATGTCGACGCGACGAAGGACTTTTCCCCAAAATGTACGGCCACTTTTTCGAAAAAAAAAACTCATCATTGAGCTCATGAAACGATCGGTGGTTGCTTTACTGATCCCGTTGGCTGGAGCGTGTCGTGGTCTTGTCGAGGATTGCGGATGGCTGCTGAAGGAGGAAGAGAGCCTGTAAATGACAGCGATGCAGTTTTGAAGACATCTATTAGATATTTCAAACACCTTCCCGACAGCCTGATCCACCCACCAAAATTGGCCCGACAGCGTCGAAGTTGACTTGAGAGCACTGATGCTGATTGCCCCAAAGCCTCGCCTGGCACAACCTTGATAACATTGTATACGGACTGGTGCTGGATGTCGACCTAGGCATTATGGACGAGGAGATATCCATACGTGTGGAAAGGGTCCAGCTGTGGTGGCAAGGGAGTCGCATGTACAGGCGGATTCCAGTGTAGAGGCTCTGAACCACTCTCCTAATCCATCGTAGCAAGACCACCAGAGAGCCCGAAGAGGTTGGTCCCTGCAACTGGTTTTCGGCATCCGAGTGTTCCTTCTGCTTGCTACTTTCGTATCTGAGGTGCTCGTCTTGCCGTATCTGCACTCGAAAGGATCAGTACACACCGCAGTAACACACAGGGTGATTCTGGTTTGGGGGGAGCGAAGAGTGAAGGTTGGATCGTGCGCTTGATGGCTGCACGATGTAGGAAGACGTAGATGTGACGGACTGGGTGTCGACGAAGTCTTGTAGTGTGGTGATGCTGCACGCATGCTTTGAAGATGACGTCTACGCGCTGTGAAGGTGTTGTTGTTGTGACTGAGGTCATACCTGCAGCCTTCTCGATGTCAGTGAGTTGGTGTGGCTGGTATAGATGGTCTACTGACGATTATCGTGCTCGCAAGTCAACGTCGTATCCCTACAACTCTGCCAGAAATCAGCTCCACAGCGTGCACCTGCTATTCCCCCAGCTAATACTTTGGATTCGCAGGATGTCGTTATCCGGATGGGACGCTAAACAGGGTGAAATTTTTGACAAAGGGAGCGGTGGATCTAGGAATAATCATACCTGATATCGATGCCGGACTAAGCCTAACCCACGCCAACCACCTCAGAAACCAAATCCCCGCGTTACTTTGCTCAGCTTAATCTCTGCCTTTGGCGAATGCTCCCGAAATCCATGCTGTATTGCTGCCATGAAGTTGAGTGTGTTCTCTCTCCGTTTGTTGCTCGTGGCACTGACGCGAGGTGGGGTCAATCGATGCGTAGGGGGGGAGAAGACAATAGATATCCTCAAGAAACGAGAAGACGTTGCATGGTGTGAACGTGGTTAGGAAGAAACGATCGAAGCAGCGGGCCTGTTTGATTTTGGTGATGTTATACTTCTTCTCACTTCTTCCAACGATTCAAGATTTGGGACTCATGGCGAGTCATTTCTCTCCTCACTTTGTAAAATTCTAATATTTCCGCAGTTAACTGCCAAACACTTGAGATCAAGGTCGATTTCCCCTCGACGGACGCGCAGTACAAAAAAATAGACGTCAACGATAGCGGAAGATTGGACTCTGGAGACGGAGAGGAGAACTATACTCATAGTCATAGTGCAAGTCCGCCATTCTTGTTCTTCTGCGTTATTCTCCCTCTCACGTTGAGGTACAGGTTTGGTGCTCAAACGATGTTCCTTTGTTCGGCAAGGAAGCCGTCATCGATGTGACGACTGGTGCGAAGTGGTGGGTCTTGGAACGGTATGTCTCCCTTCTTGCACCCACATACAGCTGTACTCATACTTACCGTAGCTCAGTCTTATCCACCCATATCGGCACGACTGTCACTCCTCTCGAAGGGTACCCACCACGCGTCACTCGATAGTGGACGGCAGTCAATGTATGAAGTACCGTCCGAGCGAGATTATGGCTGTGAGATGATTTGACTCCAGGCGGGGTATTGCCGTTTACTATCCGTTTGTGCAGGAGGATGGTAAGGGAAGCGGCGGAATCTAAGATCTTCCTCTGCCGCCGTCAGTTCTCACTCTCGCCCTCCGCCTCTCACCTACGCCAATCATAACGACCTCTCAACGCCACACGAAAGACTCTCTCTTCTCAAAAATTTGGCACCGATGTCTAGGCTGGATTCGACACACGTATCGCTTGCAACGAGTTGGCGGGGGTGTTAAGGGCATCTTCTGGCAGGCTGCATAGGCCGTTCTTGATACGAGATAAAGGGAAGAATCGTGGAATAATCAATTTATGCTAAGCATCTATTTCCCAAGTACGTGACTTCTTTTTCTTTCCCCAGCATTAATCTATGTTCTGACTTCTTTTTTACACCTACAGGAAGGGGAGGCGTGGAATTCTCCTCTGCTATGTCAGTTCTCATTTTCGTCCTCGCTGCTCAACACGACTTTGGACCTACAACACATCTATGTATGTGCGCCCTCCACCTCGATAATACATTGCCCGTAACTCATAACAAGGTAGTGACATCGGCTCGTACCGAGAAATCGTCTTGCTCATCTTATTCCTTGTCCGTGCCTCTCACCCACGCCACTAATCACGACTTCTCGATGCCATATGACAGACTATTTTATCGAGGTTTTGCCACAGGTATCCAGGTTGAACTCGATACGTATATCAATTGGAACGAGTTTGGGGGGATATTAAGGGCACCTCCTGGCACCCAAGACAGGCTACATGGGCTTGTTTCGACGTGAAATGGGGGAGAGAATCGCAGAATCGCAAACTCGTGCTGGGCGTCTATTTCCCAAGTCCGTGTTCTTTCTTCACCAACATTCCGTTCTGACTTTTTTTCAATTACAGGTCTCAAAAACTCCGGTACAGTTCCCTTAGCTCTCCGAATAGTCGTTCTCGATGTCTTCGACTACTTTTGTTCAATGTGCTCCAGTTTTTGGCGGAACTCTGGTCTTGTCATCGACGTGATTGTTATTCTCGCCTCGAGGCGATGTCTATTTGTGATAGGTGGCAACACCTAACCTAATGCACCTTGCTGATAAGGCCCTTTTCATCACTGTACGATGTTTCAATAACACTTTCGACACCTCTTCAGCGTGACGGTGACATAAAAATTTCTACTCGATAGTATGGAATAGAGCCATGTTCGTGCCTCAAGTACCATCATGCCATGCACTACGTACATCGTAAGTCTATATTCACTTGTCTCTTTCGGAATCTCACTGATCTATGCCTAGCCTTCGACGCTGGAACAAGAGTCCTTCAAGGTAGGCATAGGTGCAAAGGGGAGATGTAGGTGGAGTTTTTGAGGCGGGAGGTCGTGATCACTTGCGGGACTTGTGTAACTCGTGTGGTGAGGAAAACCCTTAGATGTGGGAGGGCATGCGAGGCGTCCCTCCTGTTAATTATTTCTTGGTATTTACATGCATGTAAAGTACGTACATCAGAAATTTAATTTATACAACAGAGATAAACATGAGACAAAGATGTAGTATTCACAGGAAAAAATACACTGGAGAGAAGGGTTGGCAAGGTTATGTGCCGAGGGATCCAGCTTCCCCGCACGCGCTCGAGCTCTCCCTCCCAGTCTGGAAGGTCCCATCGCAAGCGTAGTTTGCTGACTCTCCTAGAAATTTCACTGGCTTTCTCTATGTCTTTTCGCAGCTTTTCTACACGCAAATGCCCTGATCCTCGGCGCCAAGCTCGATTCTGTGTTGACGAACGACTTGTCTTCAAAATGCACCAATCCTTTTTCAAAGCTCACGAAACGGGTATTCGTCGTCTTGGTGATCCCACTTCGCAGTCCTTGTCGAGGAACGAATGGTAGCAGAAGGAGGGGGAGGGCCCGTAGATGACTGCGACGCAGACATCCGATGTTGGATACTCCAAACACCTTCACCAGCAGCCCGTCTATGGATCTACCACCAAAATTTCGCGTGCTCAGCTCAGAGGTTGATCTGAGAACACGAACCTCGTCGTGCTCGACCTTGACAACGTTACTTGCATACTGGTGTTGGATGCCTGCCCACAAGAGCCTACTGACGGGGTATTTTCATATTGCGGAAAGGGTGGCGAGGGTATGGGTGGTGGGATCCGAACTCTCGGTCGTGGTGGGAGGATTGAGTTGTGAGTACGAGTGTTTTGTCGTCCGCTTGATGACGGTGCACAATTTCTCGTAGTGTCGCAGATCTCCCCACCAAGATCAAGGTCTGCAAGTCTATACATGCAAAGCAACGCACCACGCTAGACGAAACACGCTAGAGTGCCTCCTCAGTTCCTTCGCCGGTTTGTTGGAAGAATCCAGCTCAAGTGTCAAAGGCAAGCTCGGTGCCACCAAATAGCTGTCGAATCGAGACAGTGGTGGTCAAGAGAACGAGAGAGGGAGGGAGGAGGGACTAGCTACAGCGAGAGGACAAAGTGGACGTCCGAGGAAACAGCTTTGCCGCCTGTCCAAAAGCGGCAGCAACCACCTTGGCTACGTACTATTTCCTTGAGTCCTGCAACTTCGCCTCAACAACCTCAAAACATGATATCTATGTTCTCTGAATAACTGCAAGTCTCAAATTCACTCTGTGCCTACTTTACCAAGTATGATGTTCCATTTGACGCGTCTTTCGCCAGCCTCATTCACTTTGAACCAGTACTAAGTAGAGATCGATGCTCAACCATCTTGCAATTGGACGACGCATCGTCTCATTGACGAGAGTCGCGCCGTACTACCGATACATCAATCTGAGCTCCATGTGTCCGAAAGTGATTGTCCGAATTCCACAAGTCTCTGAGTCAACTCCATTTTCCTCCTCATCCTCTGCTCTGCGCATATTTCACGTTAATCTCGAGTTCACGACTGGAAATCGAGACGGCATGGTCTGACGAAGGGAAGATCATATTCCCTGGATGCTTGGGTCCCTGATCGCACACAATATCGGAAGCCGTACAAGTCTATTACGAAACGGGAAGCTTCTTCTGATTTCCCCCAGATTTCCGATTTTCAGAGCGCTGGAAATTTTATGCCTGATTGGATCTTTCTATCCTCAGCACCCTGCCGTTTGACTCACAGGATCGGAACCACAACGAATGGGTATTTAAATGATGGCCTACTGACTGCTTTGACTCGTTCCCCATTCCCACTTCCCCTTCTTCTCTCCCTCGTTCTCCCGCTCTCATATCCTCTCAGAGATCTTCTGGCCATCCTTGACCTTATCTTCAACAAGCTCTTCTGGCATGTCTACGATCCTGGCGACGTCGATGGTCATGATCTTATCGCTCTGCCTTTCTGACTCCGACCCCGACAACGGTGTCAAGCTCACTGAGCTGCATGGTGAGTTCGTCGTATTTTCTACCTATTATTGTGTTTCTGATGTTCTTTAAAGTTTAGCGTTGCTTTTTCCGCCTCAAGGTTATTACGGCGTCGTGACTCGTTGACCGACAGGTTCCACGGCATATCTTGTGAGGGTGAGCGAATACTTGGTTCGTTAGCAACCACCTAACCTGCGCCTGTTCTAAATCTAATGTTGTTTTCATTTGATCAGGATCCATCAATGTCAATTTATGATGCGGTTACGTCTCGGGGATGGTATCCGCCTCTCAATGCGACGGAAATGGCCAAGTGCCAAGTTAAGAAATTGATTCCAGGTATGTAGTCACACTTCCTTGCTTCCGTGTTCGCTAACGAGCTGTCCTTTGTGGCAGATTCGTGCTTAGCACGACCGCACTTGGACAAGTTCTCCCAACTTTCTCCATGATGTGCATTTGGATGCATTACCGAGGTACTGGTTACTACACAGGTACAGCTTAGTAGATCAGAATGGTATCTGTGTTCTACAAGATACGGTGAGCTCGTGCATTTTCTCACCTACATGTCATGCACTAATGTTTTACAGGCTTTCGAGCTTATGTGATGTTGAGAATAGGATGCAATACATTATGTGGATCTGGTCGGCAGGTCCTTCATTATTCGAGGCGGCTCCTGGAAGGAATTATTTGGAGCACAGCCTGCACCTTCGAAAGAGTCGCACCCAGCCATTCTCAGTATAGCTACGGGCCTATTTCTCTCGGTTTCTTACCGCAGACCAGTCTGCGCTCCCTCGTAGAGACCAAGAACCGGATGGCGCACCTACTTCACTGACTGGTCACATCGATGCACGAGTCGTGTCATCCGAGGAGTCCTCCAGGACGTGGACAAATATGTAGCAGGCCGACAATAGGAGATAGAAAAGGTCGACCGATAACGAGCAAGCAGTTCTCACTTCGTCAGTCCATCGAAGAAGAGTAGCGACTGTGGCGCTGAAGACGAGGCTACGGCGGATGCCAATATGGAGTGGAAGAATATGACAGGTCGGTGTTGCGAGGTTTTTGATGAAGAGGAACAGGAGGACGAGGGTTTGAAATCAGAGATGAGTCGGATGATGGCGATGGCGATGTGGCGAGGCTACACCTGAGAAAGGCAGTAGCACGGGTTCAAGTTTTCGCAATCAACAAACCTTTATACCTAGCAGTGACTGTGTGTCCCCTTCATAAGAGCGGTCCTTCGCACCCTCTCAGGTAGGTATGATAATGACTCGATTGAAGAATAGCCAGTAATGTGTACTCAAACAAGAATGTTCCGACACCTTTCACTAAGATTCCTTAATTGTCTGCCATTGGGAATTTTCAACGCCGACACTTTCTCAAACCTTTTCCCTAATAGTCTTCGGCCGACAGCCCAATCTTCGGACCATGCTGAATCAGCGCGAATCAGTGTGTATGTGTCGTCAAGTATCGGGTACTCGTGGGTGGCTGTGATGTTGAATGCATGTTCTGTCCTGGCACCCGCGTCTTTAACGATCAACTTTCCGCGTCGGTAACCCCCTTCCACAACAGCCAACCCCCGCACCAACCCCTTTTCAATGCACTCCGCATCACACCAGTCTTCATCCATCTCCTCATTCCGATCAACGTTGATGAAGGGGTGAACACCTGCGGCTGCGGGCAGAGGCTTCGTCATAATCTGGTTCCATGATGGTCTCCATTTTGTGCCTGCATTGCCCGGTTCAGGATATAGGAACAACTTCCCCCGCATCCACGCATCCATCGAATTGACGAGTGCTGTCCATGCGTTCTCGAGAGACTCGCTCTCATAGTATGCCGGTATTGTCTTGCACGGCAGAACAAATGCCAGTCCTGCGACTTTGTCCACTGGGTTCGTCGACACCCGATTCTGCATGCTCTTCAGCGCCCTAAACACACCAGAAGGATAGAAACCGACAGACTGCAGCTGTTTGTGAAACCTGGTCAGTAGTTCAGTCTCATACTTCCCACCCTCATCTATTGGCTTGGCATGCAGTGGTCCATCCGGTGTGTCCCCAGCAATCTCCCTGCTTACACCAATCTCCTGCAGTGTCCATGCACGTCTAAACCAAGACCGATCACTGCCCAAGTCGTACTCCTTCAAAGTCAAAGGCCGACCCAGTCCACTCAAGTAACACACCACATAGGCCTTACGATACACTGCTCCGATGGTGGGCACATCCAGCTTCCACTCTTCCACACGCATTTCCTCCTGCTGTCCACCCACCTGTCTCAAACAGAGAACGTCCAACCACGTATACTCCAGTCCAAGATTGAGCATCTCGATGCGGACAAGGTTGAGGTTGGTGTCTTTCGGGATGGGAGCGGGCCATTCATATCCATTGATGGGCGTCCACTCATCGACATGGTCCTTCTCATCCATCCACGCATGCGATATCGGCCTAAGCCTCAACTTCCAGTTGTAAGAAGGGATGCCTGTGCACCACCATGGCACCACCCGATTGCTGATCAGATCCCACACACATCGAGGTGGCAAATATGGGTCGACGATCTGGTTACCAACAAGCGCTTTTCGTCGCATCTCCCAATCCTTCTCTTCCCATTTGCGCAATGTGATTCGTATAGTGCTCCAGTTGCGGGTGTACCATATCCGGCGAAGACGGCCATATGCCAAGCCAAAGTCCCAGTTATTTGTGATGCACTCTTCAAGAAGGGAGGAGAGGGATGGTGTGTCCAGGGTGTGTGATGTTCCGAGTGTGGTGTTGAGTTGATCCAAGAGGCCCTGAATGCCCAGGGTAGCGCAGGGAGTGTCGGCAAGGTGGGATGATATCGCACACTGGGTCCAACCGGTGTACGCCCGTTGCATTGGAACGATGATCGACGATTCGGGTTGGCCTGTCTCCATGAAGGCAGAGATGGTGACTTCAGGAACAGAGATATTCTGGGAATGGTATCAATTTCCCCTCTGTTTGTTTGCCTACTAACTTACCCATGGTATACGCCAAGGTTCATCATCATCAGACTCAGTTTTAGACCCGTTTGAATCGCGTCGACAGCGTAATTTCATTTTGTACTCACCAACGAAAGCCGAGCTGGGTGCAACCGCCGTCAAAGCGCCGATGATCATCTGTAGTGCCCTTCGTACATCTGCCTGCTGGGGCTGAGGCAGCGACGGCACCCGTGCGATCAAAAACCTACAAGCAGTGGACCACAAGACCTGTGTAAAATAGATGGCAAAATCAAGGAACCAGTTCAGCACGACAAACGAAAACACTTACACCCAAAATTGCGTCGACGAAAGGGAACTCGGCTATATTCATCGCACTCAAAACCTGTGTGATTACAAAAACTGCCCTATCCATTCTCTCCAAAGAATTGGGATTCATGAATATGACGGGAAAATGAAGAACGGTCACGGTGGCATGCGCCAAGGTGTGGATCATTACTGCGGTAGCCGGAGTACTTAGCATTAACGTGGCTTGGAAAGAGGGCAGACTCTCAATGAAGCGTTCCAGAACGTCGGAAAACGAAGCAAAGGCTGCCTTGAAGTGATTTACTTGTGTGCTATTCATTCCTAATAATCGTATGTCGGATGCGTTGTTCAAGCGAATAAAACAGTACACCTTACCGGGACGCACCCTTGACTTGAAAAGCGAAGCTTGCTCGAATAAAATTGATGCCTTGGCATGCAGAGCAAGAATAGATGTCCCCGCATCAGCATCACCACGCAGGAGCCTCTGGATGGTGTGGCTGGTTCCGTCCAAAGGACGAGAGAGCTTTCGAAAGAATTAACACAAGCACAAGCACGGAAATATGAAGAGACTTACCCTGGAATAGGTACTTATATCCAACGGCCAAGGCGCGTCGATTCTTGTCGCGTCTCCGTCGGATAGATTGGAAGGAGATCCATCCACAGCAGTCCAAGAGTTGTTTAAGACTACGACAGTCCAAAGACCATTAAGCCTCTCTCCTTTCTCGAGAGCGTTACGTGCTTCTCCGAGAATAGACACACTGCCTCCGTTCTTAGACCTGATCTTATGCAGCCCAGAGATAAGCACGAGGGAGACTGCAGCGCTGGTATGATATTTTCCCTCGAGGATCTTCATGTTCCGGAAGAAATACTGAGCTAAGAGTACCTCGGCCTGGATGCATTGGATAACTCCGCAGGGATGGGCAAAGCAGTTTGCTAGTCCTTGAGAAGCAAGATTTACAGCTTGAGCAAGAAAAAGGCCTTCCCATGCCGCAATTTCCTGGGAAGGGGAGAGGTGAATTCCCCATAAGTATGCAGCACTAATCAGAGCAGCAACAGGTCGTTCAACAAGGTTGCTGCTAGTTGCAGACTGGACAAAGTGGGCGATATCAAGGAAGAATCCGAGTTCCGCGCAGTGACGAAGGAACGTCTGCAAGCTGGAGGTACATCAGTGAGCCTGAGAATTCGCATAGCACATAATAATATACTCACATGACCCGGCGAACTTGTACAGGCATATTCTTTTGTGGGTTAATACATGCAGCTTGGATTAGACCGGCCCCTTACAATGAGCAAGCGTCGATGTAAGGGACCTGTACGTCTGACTTTGAATCCCCTATGATGTTGTTAGGAAATTGCCGAATCCCAAAATGGTCAGAGAATGAGATACCATATATAGGTTTTGGTGTGATCTGAGCGATCGTTATTGATCTCGACGCGTCTTGACTGGGTCAGAAATGCTACCTTCGCTCATCTTCACCATCATATTTCACATTTTGTGGATCCAGAACGCGTTCCCTCATTGTACATATCCTCCCCCACAAACTCCCAGCAAACCATCTGCTACCGCTTCTTTCTTCTTGCCTATTTTGTGACTGGTGGAAGGGAGGCTCCCAGAGAAATGCAGCTTCGAGCAGCGCTTGCATCATATGAAAATAGGGATTCGGCTGTCATTGCAGGGACTGGCTCAGGGAAAACACTGATTATCGCGCTTCTAATTCCATCGGATAAACCATCAGACGGCGCTACTATTACTATATCTTCCTTGAAGCGCCTACAAGTAACCCAGGTTCGTAGGCGCGTTGGTTTGAATGTGCATATATCAATGCTGATCATGAGAAGGCTGCGGACTTCGTTCGCAAATATAGGATCAAAACGATGGCAATAAATGATGATACATCTCGTACTTAATCATTCTGGGATGTACGTTTAAGTATATCTAAGTAAACGATGTCGCACTAATGGGTCACCGTTCCCTCGTAGGAGATGATCTATAATAGCAAGACGAAGACAGCAGGTTCCACACAACACTTTATTGTCACTACGGAGCAGATGTTCAAATCAAAAGGTCATCTCAGTCGCTTTGGAAACCTTATTCGGACGCTCGCATTCCGGAAAACCATCAAACGAGTTTTTGTCGATGAAGCTCATTTCATTTATTTTACTGGCACTTCACGGTACAAGATTCCTGCATTCCGCCCATCCTGGGGCCGTTTGAACGAGATCAAAATCTTTCTTCCTTCGATTCCCTGGCAGATCTTAACCGCTACATCGCCTCCGCACGTTCTCTCAGTCATAGAAGCTGCGGTTTTGAAGCCCGGTTACGAGCTCATTCGGATCACCCAAATACCATATACGCAACACACTGCATCATCAAAAGCCTCGATGTCATGGAAAATTATGACTGCTTCTTGGCGAGTCCATCAGCTCATCAAAAAAAGGTTCTCCTTTTTTTCAACAACCGGAATCTTGGACGTCGTGTTACCACCTATCTCAACAACAAACTTCCGGAAGATCAGCGCTTCAAAGGTCTGGTCAAGCATTACGACAGTATCATGTCAAGGGAGTACCTTGAAAAGGTCCACTCGGACTTCGCTCAGGAAGGTGGGACATGCAAGATTCTGTGTGCAACGTCTGCAGAAGCAGTGGTGTGTATCTATTCAGTTCTTGTTTTAGTTGTACTCATGGTGAAGGCCAGGGAATCGACTTTCCTGACGTTGACATTGTCGGATACATGGATATCCCCCAGGATGAGTGCGATGATCTGCAAAGGGGTGGCCGGGTGATTCGGAGACCTGGACAATATGGTCTCTATGTGATATTTTATGAACCGTTGGTTCTTGAAATTGACGTCAAGGATTTTGACAACCCAGATATGGACTATAACGATCCTGATCGTCCGCGAGGACCGCTAAAGCCAACATCAAATAAAAAGGAACGGGCGGCACTCTCAGCAATACGCCTCATCCAAAGGCATGGCCCCCAATGTATCCGTGAATTCAAGGCTAACTACTTGCAAGACAATGCACCTGATGGTATGTTTGCTGCCATATCATATCTGTATAAGACTAACACACGTGAAAAAAGCGCTCCATTATTCTGGTCCATTCTGTTGCGACCGCCATAACGATGCTTTTAACCTGCAGAATTTCCTTCCTGGTCCAATCTACAACCCTCAGTCATCAGAAGCATCGTCAAAACGTAAACCAAATCGCGAGAAGTACCGCCTACCAAAAGCCCATCGTATCATCTTACAGCGGCGTCTTGAGGACTGGCGGAGAACAGAACATGAGGCTGATGCACTGAAGTCGGTCCGACCTCGATATTTCATTCTTTCAGATTCACACATTGTCACTCTTGCCAAGACACGTGCAGAACTTGTATCTTCGTCCGCTGCTTACATCGACGCTTGCTCATTGTAAGGGGCCGGTCACAGGTCTAAGCTTGGATGATTATCTTGTCAATTTCCGATGTTTCGTCAGGAGACGAATCTTTTCTTGTCTGGGAAGGCAAAAAGATGGAGCGTATGTGTTTCCAAATCGGCATCACACGGACCTCGGACGGTGCTAACGTCGTCGTATTGAGCACTTGAAAAAAGAAAGATTAATAATACATACTATTTCCCATTTTCTAGGCTCAAGGGCACGCAGATCGAGGGAGCGCCAAAGGAAAGGTGCTTGCCTAGAAGTGTCATAGCCCTAATCCTCCCAGGCTATTGTGTGTAAAAATAACGTAGAAGTCTTCGTTCTATCGATCTCTCAATGCTTTCCTTCATGGATTAACTTATTTCACATACATCGAAGACATTAGCTTGGAGACTTGGACAAGTTCATTTTGCAAGGCCGCGATCCCAGTAGATACGTCGGGAGAGTGGGTGGTGTACACCTCTACAGCGTCTAAGGGAAATCGAGATTGGTAGTCATGGCGCTTATCATTTCTGTTTGTAGTTGTCAGGTGCTTTCGGCGCTTTGATCTCAGCGAGTGTAGCAGCAGTCTCTCCAGAGCTAGCTCAGGCCATCCCGCCCCATACATTGAAAAATGAATCATTTTTGAAGTCGGTGTTCTATCAAAGCGGCAAATAATCTGAGTCCATCTACACAGAATGAGAACCACGTCATTGGGCTGGTAAAGATACGATACCCCAGGCTCGTTCCGCACGAGCGCCTTTACCGATGGGGAACACATTGTATGGTACAGCATACACGGCAATGAGACGCCACTGAAGTCAAAATCAGACGAAGACAATAGTGAATTTGCCAAGGATCATACCTCATATCCGATAGTACCGTCGAACGATGGACTCGGCGGACGTGGTAGTAAAATCTATGACAAGATCGTCGTATGTGATCAGCAGTGCACGAGCTACCTCTCCTTGCTGCAGAGATAGCCTTGCCTAAAAAAATGATTAGTAGGCTGAACACACTATCTGAGATAAAAAACTCGCGGTTATATCCCATAGTACGGATACCAGCAAATTGTCTCTTTACCGGGCCGGCGAGTCTTGTCGATTAGGGTACGTCGTGTATGGTGAAATAACCTGTACAGTTGGCATCAGAAACGAAAACTCGCAAAAACTATACTCATACCATCCTGTCAGACCCACACGTCGCTAGCATCTAATCACCCCTTCCTCTGGAGCATTTTAACAGTAGAAATATCATTCCCCGATTCTCCTTTCAAACTCGGGTATTGCATCAGTGCTGGTCCGCGCAATCTTGGAAGATGGGAGGGGTGGACGTTCAGTATCTCTTTGTCGGAGCAAAGTGGTCAGGAACGAGACAAGAGGATATTCCTGAAAGAGGCCGTGATGTTTCCTTGAACAAGTCCAGGCCCGAGGATGAAGCGGATATACATATGCAGTCTAGTATATATGAATAAGCTATGAGATCAGAGAAGGCACGTAGTGTGATAGACGAGACTCACAATCCCAACGTTCACAACGTACAAATGGAGAGAATTCGACTAGAAGAAAGAAACCGGCGGAAAAGTCGGGAGAGAAGACAGGGAGATCAAACTAGCGACTGGCTGTGGGTGGGGTGAATCATTATTGAAGGAGTTGATGGATATCCAGCGAGTAAGTCGAGGCCGAAATGGCACACCAGGTTAGGACTTTTCTTCGTTGATTCCCCCTTCTTGCCTCTACAAGCGTTCCGCGTCAAGGAAGACGACGATTTGTTCCCCCTGTATTTCCGCTCAGAGTTTGACCGGACCACAAAGAAGAGCAAGGCCGAGATTCGAGAGATCCTGCTCCGTTGCAGAGGAATCCTGACATTAGTGTTGCCGTGCGGTTGAGTCCGTCGTCGAAGAGGCTGGTTCTTGTCGGAGTGCGTTCTCTCTCAGTTTGTTGCTTTCATAACGCGAGGTGGTGCCAATCGACGCGTAGGGAGTATAGGAAGAAAGAGAAGAAGAGGATAGAGATCGGGAAGAAATGCGAAGACGCTGGCGTGGTTAGGAAGAAACGATCGAAGCCACAGTGGAAGGCCACGCCCGTTTTGTTTTGTAACGTCACACTTCCTCCCACTTCTTCGAGCTATTTCTCTTCTCACCTAATAAAATTCTGACCTTTCCTTGCAGCTGACTGCCAAACACTCAAGATAAAGGTCAAATTTCCTTCGACAGACGCGCAGTACAAAAAAATAGACCTCAACGATAGCGGAAGATTGGACTCTGGGGACGGAGATGAGATCTAACCTATGCTCATAGTGCAAGTTCCTGCCGTTTGTGCTCTTCTGTGTTATTCTCACTCTCACGTTCAGGTCCAGGGTTGGTGCTCTCCTTTGTTCGGCACGGAAGCCATCCTTGATGTCGACGACTGGTGCGAAGGGAAGTGAGTGTCTAAAGTGACAGGAGCGCTCTTGGGTCCTGGGATGGTATGTCTGCCTTCTTTGACCTACCTACGGCCATACTCACACTTGCCATAGCTGAGTCTTATCCGCCCATATCAGCACGGTTGTCACTTACCTTGAAGGGTACCCGCCAGTGCTGCCACACATCACTCGATAGTAGATGGCAGCCAGTGTCTGAAGCATCTTCCGAGCGAGATTATGACTGTAAGACGATTTTGACACCAGGCATGGTATCGGCGTACTGTGGCACATTTTCAGTGGCGAGGAGTATCCGTTTGTGCAGGAGGATGGTAAGGGGAGCAGCGGAATCTAAGATCTTCCTCTGCAACCATCGGTTCTCACTCTCGCCACCTACCTCTCACTTACGCCAATCATAACGACCTCTCAACACCACACGAAAGATTCTCTTGTCTCAAAAAATTGGCGCCGATGTCTAGACTGGATTCGACACATGCATCGCCTGCAACGAGTCGGGGCGCTAAGGGCATCTCCTGGCAGGCCGCATAGGCCATTCTCGATACGAGATACAGGGAAAAATCATGGAATAATCAACTCATGCTAGGCATCGATTTCCCAAGTACGTGACTTCTTTTTCCTTCCCCAGCATTAATCTATGTTCTGACTTCTTTTTTACACCTACAGGAAGGGGAGGCGTGGAATTCTCCTCTGCTATGTCAGTTCTCATTTTCGTCCTCGCTGCTCAACACGACTTTGGACCTACAACACATCTATGTATGTGCGCCCTCTACCTCGATAATACATTGCCCGTAACTCATAACAATATAGTGACATCGGCTCGAACTGAGAAATCGTTTTGCTCATCTTATTCCTTTTCCATGCCTCTCACCTACGCTACTAATCACGACTTCTCGATGCCATACGACAGACTACTTTATCAAAGTTTTGCCACAGGTATCCAGGTTGAACTCGATACGTATATCGATTGGAACGAGTTTGCGGGGGGTATGAAGAGCACCTCCTGGCACCCAAGGTAGACTACACGGGCTTTTTTCGATGTATAATGAGGGAGAGAATCGCAGAATCGCAAACTCGTGCTCAGCGTCTATTTCCCAAGTCCGTGTTTTTTTTTTCACCAACATTCCGTTCTGACCCTTTTTCAATTACAGGTCTTAAAAACCCCGTCCCTTAGCTCTCCGAATAGTCGTTCTCGACGTCTTTGACCACTTTTGTTCAATGTGCTCCAGTTTTGGCAGAACTCTGGTCTTGTCATCGACACAGTTGTTATTCTCGCCCCGAAGCGATGTCTATTTGTGATAGGTGGCAACACCTAACCTAATGCACCTTGCTGGTAAGGCCTTTTTTCACCACTGTATGATGTTTCAATAACGCCTTTGACACCTTCTCTTCAGCATGACGGCGACATAAAAATCTTTATTCAATAGTATGGGATAGAGCCATGTTCGTGCTTCAAGTACCATCATGCCATGCATGTACATCGTAAGTCTATACTCACTTGTCTCTTCCGAGATCTAACTAATCTATGCCTAGCCTTCGACGCTGGGACAATGGGTCTTTGGGGCGTACGCGCAAAGGGGAGATGCAGGTCGGTTTTTTGAGGCGGAAGGTCTTGATCACTTGTGGGACTTGTGTAACTCATGTGGCGAGGAAAATCCTTATTAGATCCGGGAGGACGTGCGAGGTATCCCTCCCGCTGATTATTACATGGTATTTACATGCATGTAAAGTACGTACATCAGAAATTCAATTTATACAACCGAGATAGACGTGAGACAAAGATGTAGTAGTATTCACAGGGAAAAAAATACACCAGAGGGTTGGCAGGGTTATGTGCCGAGGAATCCAGCTGGCCTGCACGCGCTCGAGCTCTCCCTCCCAGTCTGGAAGGTCCCATCGCAAGCGTAGTTTGCTGACTGACCTAGAAAATTCACCCATTTTCCCCCGTGTCTTTTCGCAGCTTTTCTACACATAATTCTCGTTCCTCTCTTACATTTTGTGGTACCAAGCTCGATTCTGTGTCAACGAACGACTTTTCTCCAAAATGCACCGACCCTTTTTCAAAGCTCACAAAATGGGCGTTCGTCGTTTTAGTGATCCTGTTGGCCAGAGCGTCGTTCATAGTCCTTGGCGAAAAACGAATGATGGTGGTAGGAGGAAGAAGCCAGTAGACGACGCGAGACAGCGACGCAGACATCCGATGTTAGATACTTCAAACACCTTCACCAGCAGCCCGTCTATGGATCCACCACTAAAATTTCGCGTCCTCAGCTCAGAGGTTGATCTGAGAACACGAACCTCGTTGTACTCGACCTCGATAACGGTGCTTGCGTACTGGTGTTGGATGCCGGCCTGCAAGACACTACTGATGGGATTGTGGAAAGGGTGAAATGACATGGGTTGGTGGGATGCGGACACTCCGAACTCTCGGTCGTGGTGGGAGGGTCGTAAGTTCTTCTCGAGGGGTAAGTTGGGGGTGCGAGTGTTTCGTCGTTTGCTTGGTGATGGTGCATGGTGGATAGGGACGCCAGGCAGCCAAATTTCATGGTGGATTATCGCACTTTGTTAGGTTAGGCTGAAGAAGGCAGTGCGATTAAGGCTGCACCTGACGCCCCATTCTGGTCAAGATAATCGGAGCGTGAGAACTCCTTGACCGTCCGACTCCTGACTGACTCACTGCCTGCCCCTTACTCATCGTCAAATGTGACACCCAGCACCAGACCCCGGTGTCAATATGTATAACCGTCAACTCATCAGTCTGTCGAAGATGATTACCGACTATGGCGCAGGATGATGCAATTTTGGATTCCAGTATGGAGCGGAAGGATACAGAGATTGACAATGAGGTCTGCATTGCTGTGGTTTTCAGAATGGAAGAGGAAGAGGGCAGAGAAGGGTTCGAAATTAGAGAGGAGTTGGACGATGATAACAAAAAGGGCGGAGACGATGAGGCTGTACCTGACGTCGGCGGCGACGTTGGCGAAGAAGCGCACTATTGGTGGCGAATCCTCAAAACGAGAAGTACATTGCACACTCCATGATGAATCCTAGGTGCAGAGACAGATCGCTGAGGTGTACTCAAGATGTGCTCAGATCCGCTCACTACGACAAAGCTCCTCCGTACTCTCCATTCTTGGCTCCGAGGCCAACCTTCGTGACCGCAAAAATCAGTTCATGGAGCTCTTCGACCACTAGAGTTTTCATATCACAGCTGGATTCCTTGAAAACCGCGACATCATTGCCTGGTGTACCAAGCTCATGCGAAGTGAACGCGTCAAGCTTCAAGGTTGAAGTTGCTATGCGCGAGATGTGCGTAGGATGAATTCTTCACAAGTCAGCGGGGGATCGTCAGATGGAGGCACACCTGTTCACCGTTCCCGAGCTTCACCACATTCAAAGCAAGCTCTACTTTGTTATATTTGGCATTGATGAGCCCATTTTGCTTTGCACGTCTCCCAGCGCCAGAAAGGTATGCTTGTCAAGCTGTGTCTTGATTTCGTCCCTGACTTCCTTGATACCAAGACCAACCGTGACGCGTAAAAAGCACCGACACCAGCTGTATGAATTTCGGTCGTCTCATCATCATCAATGAGATCCACTTGTTTCATGATGAACGTGGTCTAGTTCTGGGGAGCAGAGCATTATTGCTCGACAATCCGTCGCATGGAGAAAACTAACGAGTATGTGCATCTCGTTGGGTTGTCTGCCACTCTCCCTAATTATCAGAATATCGCCTAGACGAATCGAAAGGACTCTCCTGCTTTGATCCTTCATACCATCCTTGCGGACGGCAGCAACAGTTCATCGGAGTTACTAAAAAGGTGATCATGCGGTACCAAGGGACAAGCGAAGTCCGTTACTAGAAAGTCCTTGACTAGGCGGGGATGAAACAAACCTCTTCGTTCACCCGCGGAAAGAAACAATGAAAACATCGATGAGAGGCATGATGGAGGGAACGATTATTCAGTTCGTTCGAGTTGAAGCTGATAATGCTGTACGGGAGATTCTTACAGAAGAAACTAACAACATTAAGGATTCCAACTTTCGCAATCTCCTTCTCACTCTCGTCGTCGCCACTGACAACGGCCAACATGTCTGGCACGCAAGGAAAAAAGCAAGACCTTTCTCAGTACAATATAGCGCCGTATTCTCTCCTGTCCTTACTGCAGACCAGTCTGCAATCCTTTGTAGAGAACAAGAACAGGATGTTGCACCAACTTCACTGACCGGCCACATTGATCCACGAGAAATGGGTTCTCGTGTCATCCGAGAAATGCCCAAGGATGTGGAAAAGAAGGCAGCAGATCACCAGGAACCAATCTACCAGCACATATGGTCGTCATAAGGAGAATGCGGATGTACAATGCTTGGACGTGTGGCTAGGTCGATGGTCATGATCTTCTGACCGCCTTCAACTGCCTTTTCCGACGTAGCTTTTTGACTTTAACAACCACGACAATGATGGCATCGAGCTCACTGAGCTGCAGTGAGCTCGTCGTATTTCCTACCTACTCTTGGGTTTCTGATGTCCTTTAAAGTTTAGCATTGCTTTTTCGGCCCCAAACTTATCACGGCGTCGTGACTCGTTGACCGACAGGCTCCACAGCATATCTTGTGAAGGTAAGCGAATACTTGATTCGTTAGCAACCACCCAACCTGCACTTTTTCTAGGTCTAATCTTGTTTTTAGGCCTACCATTTTACGGGAACTAGCTCAGTTTCCGAGTGGTAAGTCGGGCAATCCCAATTCATTCACACTGCCTGTTCACTCGTTTTATCAAAATCTATCAATGATGATTTATGATGCGGTTACGGGATGGTCTCCGCCTCTCAAGACAACGGAAATGACTAGGTGCTGAGTTAAAAAAAATTAAACAAGCACAGCTTAGATGAAAACGATATCCGTAGACTGCAGGATATGGTGAGCTCGCGCATTTTCTCACCTACATGTCACTCAACTAATATTTTACAGACTTTCGAGCTTATACGATGTCGAAAATAGGCTGCAAAATATTATCTGAATCTGGCCGGAAAATACTTCATTGTTCGAGGCGGCTCCCGGGAGGAATTATTTGGAGCGCAGCCTGCACCGTCGAAAGAGTCACACCCAGCCCCTTCTCAGTATAACTACGGCCCCATTCTTCTCAGTTTCTTACCGCAGACTAGTCTGCACTCCCTCGCAGAGACCGAGAACCGGATGGCGCACCTACTTCCACTAATTGGTCGCATCAATGCACGAGTCGTGTCCTCCGAGAACTCCCCCAACTTCAGGACGTGGACAAATATGCAGTAAACTGACGATAGGTGATAGAAGAAGTCGACCTATAACGAGCGATCAGTTCTCTGGACTCTTCAGTCCGTCGAAGAAGAGTACCAACTATGGCGCTGAAGACGAGGCTACGGCGGATCCCAGTATGGAGTGGAAGGATACGACAGGTCGGTGTTGCGAGGTTTTTGATGAAGAGGAAGAGGAGGACAAGGGTTTGAAATCAGGGATGAGTCGGACGATGGCGATGGCAAGGCGGCAAGGCTGCGCCTGAGAAAGGCAGTAGCACGGGCTTTCGCAATCAACAAACCTTTATACCTAGCAGCGACTGCGTGTACCCTTCATAAGAGCAGTCCTTCGCACCCTCTCAGGTAGGCATGATAACGACTCGATTGAAGAAGAGCTACTACAATATGTACTTAAACAAGAATGTTCCGACAGTTACTCAGTACTAAGATTCTTTAACCGCTTCCATTGATCTACATCGGCAATTCGCAACACCGACACTTTTTCAAACCTTTTCCCTGGCAGTCTTCGCCCGAGAACCCAAAATTCGTAATCCCGTCGAGTGCAGATCAGTGTGTATATGTCTTCAGGTATGGGGTACTCGTGGGTGGCTGTGATGTTGAATGCATGTTCCATCCCACCCACGTCCTTAACGATCAACTCTCCACGTCGATCACCCCCTTCCACAGCAGCCAACCCTCGCACTAACCCCTTTTCAATGCAGGGCGCATTACACGAGTCTTCATCCATCTCCTCATTCCGATCAACATAGATGTCGGGGTAGTATTCACCTGCAGCCAGAGGCTTCATCATCTGCTGGTCCCACGATGGTCTCCATTTTCTGCCTGCATTTCCCGGTTCAGGATAGAAGCAGAACAACTCCCCCCGAAGCAACATCCACATCGAATTGACGAGTGCTGTCCATGCATCCTCGAGAGACTCGCTCTCATAGTATGCCGGTATCGACTTGGACTGCACAAGAAATGCCAGTCCCGCGACTTTGTCCACCGGGTTGGTTGACACCCGATTTTGCATCTCCTCCAGTGCTGAAAACATTCCATATCTGTCCACTGTAGACTGCAACTGCTTGTGAAACCTGGTCAGTAGCTCAGTCCCATACTTCCCGTCCTCATCCCTTTTGGCATGCAATGGTCCATCCGGCGTGTCCCCAGCAATCAACATACTAGTAGTCGGGCCAGCCTCTTGTAGCGTCCATGCACGTCTGAACCAGCACCGATCACTGTCCAAGTCACCGTCCTTCAAACTCAAAGGCCGACCCAGCCCACTCAAGTAAACCGCCACATTGGGCTCATCATATACTGCTCCGATGGTGGGCACATCCAATTTCCACTCTTCCGCCCGCATATCCTCACCCTGTCCACCCACCTGTCTCAAACAGAGAATGTCCAACCATGCATACTCCAGTTCAAGATCATCCTCCACTTCACTATCATCCTCCACTTCAATATTGAGCATCTCAATGCGGACAAGGTTGAGGCTGGCATCTTTCGGCATGGGAACCGGCCATTCGTATCCGTTGGTGGGTGTCGACACGTTGACGCGATCCGTCTCATCCATCCACGCATGCGATATGGGCTGAAGCTTGCATGTCCTCACCCTGATTAAGCCTGTGCACCACCATGGCACCACCCGATTATTGTACAGATCCCAGACACGTCGAGGTGGCAAGTGTGGTTTGACGATCCGGTTACCAACGAGTGCTTTCCGTCGCATCTCCCGGTCCTCCTCTTCCCATCTGCCCAATGTGTCTCGTACAGTGTTCCAGTCATGGATGTACCATATCCGGCGGAGGCGGCTATATGCCATGCCAAAGTCATACTCGTTTGCAATGCAGTCTTCAAGAAGGGAGGAGAGGGATGGAGTATCCAGGGTGTGTGATGTTCCGAGTGTCGTATTGAGTAGATCCAAGAGTCCCCGAACGCCGAGGGTAGCGCAGGGAGTGTCAGCGAGGTCGGATGATATCACAGGCTTTGTACCGGTGTACGCCCGTTGCAATGGAACAACGATTGACGATTCGGGTTGGCCTGTCTCAGTGAGGGCAGAGATGGTGACTTTGGGAAGAGAGATATCCTGGGAATGATATCAATTTCCCCTCTGCTTGTTTGCCGACTGACTTACCTCTGGTGGATGCCATGGTTCATCATACTCGGAAGCATCTTCAGAAGGTTGCTCTTCCGTGGCATTAGTCTGCAAACGCACTGCAATGGATGGTGATTCTGGCGGTAACCAGGGCGACAAGTCTGGTGTCGCCTCCAAAGACGGACCAGCATCCTCTGGAGTAGAATTACCGTGCTGCTCTTGCAGTTCGGACGAAGCGGCTGTGTTGGTGCAGGTTTTCTTGGCCTTTCCTCGCTGCTGGTCCATCCTGCCCTTCTTCGACATAGGAGCTACATCGTCCTCGGATTCGACCTCGCTACCATGGCTGATGACTCGGTGTCGTCGCTTTCGGGCTACTGACTGTTCCTGCGAGGCTTGCTGGATCGCTGGCTTCATGGCTGGCTTCGTTGGCCTCGTCGTTGTACTTTTCGGTTTCATTGACGGAATCTTTGGTTTAGAGGTGTTGTCGGGAGAGTGGATGGTGTACACCTCTACGGCATCCAAGGGAAATCATGATTAGCAGCCATGGCGCCTGTCATATTTGGTCGTAGTTGTCAGGTGCTTTGAGCGCTTCGATAACATTCCTGTTCCTAACGCGATCCTCAGCATTTGTCCCGAACGTAGCGGTAGTCCCCTGTGTCAGCTCGGCCATCCCATCCTATACATTGAAATAGTAGATAAGTTGAGTCCATCTATACAGGACTAGAAGTACGCTGCTAGTAAAGACACGACACTCCAGGCTCATTCCGCACGAATGCCCTCACCAATGGGGAAATGAGTTGCGTCGTACATCATACACGGTGATGAGACGCCACTAAAGTCAAAATGAGATGAAGAGAGCGGTGGATCTGATAAGACCCACACCTGATATCCAACAGCTCATTACCTCCGAACTATGGACTCGGCGGACGTGGTAGCGAAATCTACAACAGGATCGTCGTATGTGTTCAACAATTCATGCGACATCTCTCCTTCCTGCGGAGATAGGGTTACCTAAAGAAATGATTAGTAGGCCGAACACACTATCTGGGAGAAAAACTCACGATCATATCCCGTAGTACGGATATCATACCGTGCCAGTCCACCACCCCTTCTGATGCCCTGCTTGGAATACAGCCCCTGGTCTACGAGATGGTCACGGGAAGCAGTGCCAGTTTCATCATTGAATGTCGGATGTACTGGATGCCAGAAAATGTAGGAGATGGGAAGGCAGAGGTCCAATAGTAGATGACGGCTCATTGAGCATCATCGAGAGCTCCTTTGATGTTGACGATTAGTTGGGAGGCTCGTACGTTCGTAATGGGAGAATCGTTAGAGGCTTTTACAGGCTGAGTTTGCTGTGGAGTGGTGGAGTGGCGTTTCTTCGTTTACTTGGTGCCGGTGATGTCCTAGAGGCTGCTGTGGTGATGAAGGAAAGAAGACAGACAGCTACACGGTGGAGGAGAGTGCCTAGGTAGGTAGATGCGATAGTGCAATGGAAACAACTGCGAGTCTGCTTGCAGGTGCTCGGCGCTAGTGAGGGTTCGCAGGCCGTTTGTCCCACCATCGTGTCTGAGGAAGGCGATGCGATGAAGGCTGCGTCTGAATTGTGAACGGATGTCTTCGGTGATTTTGTTAGTGTAGCGCCTGCTGAAGATAGCAAATCTGCGATTTCGACCGTTCTGGTGATGATAGTCGGAACGTGAGAACGTCCGAGTATGCACTGCCGTCTGAGAGCTCGATTCGATCGCATCCCTTCAGTCTGACGCGTACTAAGTATTCCGACAACCCTTTATAGCTTTACCCTCGGGTTGCACCTCATCACTCAACGATGGCAATCCCAAAATGAGCCATCGGAAGCTCCGTATTCCATGGGACATTCTACGAATTGCTCGAGATGCAGTGTGCTGATGGCCTGCGGCGGTGGAAGGAGATGAAGGACTGAGGAATGATGCAAAGCATACGCTCGAGAGCTTCAATAAGCCCTCTATGAAAATGCTCCCCCCATAGTTTGTTACACGATGAAACGTCGAAGTGACAGATGACACGGATGATGGAGACGTGTTCGAGAGTCGGGAAAATATGACGTACGGAAGGAGAGCGTCCTGTTCCCAGTCAGAATCACGGTCGACGTGGATGGAGGGTCGCAGGAAGAGTAGATTGTGGGATCGAGGAGAAGAGTCCAGACTCCAGTCAGATTCAACGTCGGGAAGGGCTAGTCGTAAGTCGACTGTGCGTGGGTACGCCCTGATCTGACCAATACAACCTCGCTAAATATTCGGGACTATAGCATTGATGTTCCGCCGTAGTTTTGGAGACGACATCACAATCTTCGCCGATGTCAATTGATATATCCTCCTCACCACGGAGGGATAGCTCTGACCATAACAGTAAGGTACTGGGAAGCGATGCGTCGTTGACGACACATGATCCTGGATCTATCAGGGTGGAGGTATCGCTGCCGATAATCGAAATAACAAAGAATCCATGCCGTTAGTTACAGCAGGCAAGTCGCTGGAGCACAGATCGAATGGAATTAATCGATGCAGATGACTCTTAGAGCGTCTCCGTCCTTCATCAGAAGTTACTTGGGTGTGCTCGTTAGCTTTGGATATAGTAACGGACATTCGTGATCAGCTCACCGAACTATTAACAAGCGTATGTACATCGTCGCAGTGATAATGAAGTGGTGAGGCAACTGGCAATCTTTTAAGCACCTACCAGATCACATTGTACGACGCAATTCTGAGGGCTTTTACATACCTTAGACTCCAGTATCAGACAACCTTGCCATAAAGTCATCCCTATCCATACGTTTTGTACCTGCAGGCCAGCTCTCTGGTCTGTCGCAACGAACACTGGATGCGCCAGGAGGTGGGACAGCATCCAGATTAAAATACAGCCACAACCCCACCCGTCAGGAGGTGTAGAAGGTGGTTAGCTCATAGTGGGATCGTGAAGTCGATTGATAGATACTGCACAAAGCGACGAGAGTAGGGAATTATCGCAGTCAAAGGCCTTGTCGGCGAAGCCATTGATGATAACGAGCCAATATATCTGAGTCGACACGTTTTCTAACAAGGTTTGAAGGGATGCCCACGTCAATCTCCTGAGAAACCTAACCCTGCTTCACTTCGCTCAGGCTCGTCTCTGAATTTGGCACATGCCCCCAAAATCCTTGCCGTATCCGTGTAAGCGTGCTGCTGTGAGGATTCCATCGTCGAAGAGGCCGGTTCTGGTTAGAGTACGTTCTAGGTCCATTTATTGCTTTCGTAGTGCTGACGCAAAGTAGATCCATCGACGCGTAAGGAGAAGGAGAAGAGAACAGGTAGGGATCAGGAATGAGAAGACCGTGCATGGAACGGAGTCGGCGTGGTGATGAGGAGGAAATGATCGAAACGTGTTGAATGCTCGGGGCGTCTGTTTGGTTTTGGTGACATCATACTTCTTGTCCCTTCCCAATGAATGATACACTCATGTCAAGCGTTTTTTCTTCCAGCTCTATACAATCCTGATGACCTTTGATTACAACCACCGCTGAATGTTCGAAGCCAAGGCTTATTTTCCCGTGATGGACGCGCACTGAGAAAAATAACCGTCGGCGTTGGCTGCATGCGGAAGATTGGGCTATGGACGCAGAGATGAGCATTGCCCGACTTGTGTGCTCACATCGCCAGTTCCTTCGCTCTGCGGCATTCTTCCTCTCAAGTTGAGGTACGGGTTTGACTTTGAAATGATAGACCTTTTGAGGAGCAGCAAGTCAAACAAACTCTTTCGCGGCAAGGAATCTGTTACCTGAGAAGAGGTGACAAGAACGCTCTTAGGATGGTACGTCTCCCTTCTTTCATCCACATCCAACCGCACTCACTCTCGCCACAGCTTGATCTTATTCACCCACGTCAGGGCAACTGTGACTTCTCTTGAAGAGTACCCGCCACGTCCTGCGGGATATCGACTACCGAGGCAGCTTTTGGGAGGATGGTGAACGGAGAAGTGAAAGCCTCCTCTGCTACTATCCGCTCTCGCTCTCGTCCTCGCTGTTCAACGCGACGTCGTGCCTGCGACATATCCGTGTACGTTCAGCATCTTTCTCTAGATATCACACTACCCGTAACTCATAACAACGTATTCAAAGTCACGTCTGCCCGTACCCAAAGATCGCTCTCCTTATCAGAATGTTCCCCTTCCATGCCTCTCACCTATGCCAATAATCATGACCATACGACATAGACACTTTGCGGCCGTTTTCAGCTCAACATGTGTATCGCTTGCAAGGCGTTCGCAGGGGGTTTAAGGGCATCTTCTGGCAGGCTGTATGGGCTCTTTCGGATGTGAGATGTGGAGGAGACGCTAGACGTCCATTTCCCAACTCCGTAGCTTCTTCTCACCAACATTCCGTTCTGATATTTTCAATTACAGATCTGTTTCCTGTTCCCTTAGCCTCCAGAATACCTTCTCGACGTCCTCGACCACTTCTGATAATGCAGGCTTCGTTTGACGTGCCCCAGTCTTGGTGGAAAATTTGTCCTCGATGCGGTCGTCTACTGTGTCCTTCAATCAGTAATGGGTAGCAAGTCAATTATACCTGGTGCACTTCGCTCATAAGGCCTTTCTTTAGCCTTCGACCCTGGGACACTGGATGTCGGGATAGGCGCAGCCACAAAGAAGGAATGCTTATAAGGTAGGTGAGGGTTTTTGAGGTGGGAGGTCATGATTACTTGTGGGATTTGCTATATGTAACTCGCGTCGCAAAGGGAAGACCTAGACGCGGGAGGACGTGCGACGCGTTACACAGTACTAACATGCATGTAACACATGTATGTCAGGAATATATTAACATTTTGAATCGCATACTCTACAATGGAGACAAGCCTGAGAGAAAGATGCGTACGCAGGACAAATGCACAGGAGAGAAGGGTTGGTACTGAGTTATGTGCCGAAGATCCAGCTGGCCTGCATGCGCTCTTTCCCTAGCCTTTCGACTGCTAGTTCTTCCTATCCGTGATACATGCAGATTTACGCATTAGAAATGGTTGTTGATCGTTCTAGTAATCCGTGGCATGTATCGTAGTCCTTGTCGAGGAGCATGCATGCTGCCCGACGGAAGGAGAGAACCTGTAGATAATGGCAATGCAAGTTCTTTGAAGATGCCTAATGTCAGATATTTCCAAACGCCTTCACCGATAGCCTGATTCACTCACCAAAAATCGCTCGACAGCGTCGAGTTTAACGTCGACCTCGGAACACCAACGTCGAGTGCCTCAAACCTCGCCTTGCAGGGTCTCTATGACATTGTTTGTGTACTGGCGCTGGATCCCGCCAGACATTATTGACGAGGAGCTTCCACATGTGTGGAAAGGACACAGCTGGTAGTGACGAGGGAGTTGCATACACGAGCGGATTCCAGAGAAGCAGACGCTCTGAAACACAGACCCGCTCTCGCTATCTTCCTCGCCCGAACGCCTCTCCCAATCCGCCGTAGCAATGCTGCTCTCTGAGAGGTTGGTCTCGCGGCTAGTTTCTGACGTCCGAGTGCGTTCCTTCCGTTTGATATTTTCGCACTCGAGGTGCGCTCATCTTGCCGTATCGGCACTTGAAAGACCTGGTATACCGTGGTGACGTGGAAGATGAACCTGTTTGCGTGAGAGCGGAGAGTGAGGGTTGATCAGTGCAGCACATCTACCAGAGACTCGACCTGCGTCAGTACTAGTCCCGCCCATGATCCCAGCTGCTCATGAACACGTAGTCAAACCTCGCCTTGCAGGGTCTTGACAACAGTGTTTGCATGCGAGCATTGTGGACGAGCCTCCATATGCGTGGGAGCTGGCAACGGCGCGTAGGCAGATTCCAGGGATCCAGATGCTCCACAACACGATTCCCAGCCTCGCCCTGCTCTCGCTATCTCTCTCATTCGAACGTGTCTCCCAATCTACCATAGTTCGTGGCAGATGATCGTGCGTGAGGTGCAGCTTGTTTGGTCAGTACTCGTCGCTGTGGCGGAGATCCTGTTCGACGGGTTTCGCTGTTTCAGCCGTTTTGGTGGTCGGTCGTCGGATGGAGGAGCGTGAGAATATCTTGCGTACGCGCGACCCCGGACCATACAAGCTTGCTAAATATTCGGGATAGCATTGATGGTCCGCCATAGTTTTGGAGACGATATCGCAATCTTCGCTGATGTCAACTGATGTATCCTCCACACCACGGAGGGATAGCTCTGGCCATATGAGTCGCTCGTGAGTTTGAAGATACCGAGAAGCAATATGTCATTCACGACACATGATCCTGGATCTATCAGGATGGAGGTATCGCTGCCGATAATCGAAATAACAAAGAATCCATGCCGTTAGTTACAGCAGGCAAGTCGCTGAAGCACAGATCAAATGGGATTAATCGATGAAGACAGCGGGGATTGCCCCGTCCTTCATCGGAAGTCACTTGGGTAGGCTCGTTAGCGTTGGATGTAATGGACATCCATAATCATCTCACCGAATGATTCCCAAGTCTATGTACGTCGTTATAGTTGATAATGAAGCGACGAGAAAACAGGAAGTCTTTTAAGCATGCATCAGATCATATTGCATACGCAAACCCGAGGACTTTTACATACCTTAGACTCCAGTATCAGACAACCTTGCTATGAAGTCATCCCTATCCATACGTTTTGTACCTGCAGGCCAGCTCTCGGGTCTGTCGCAACGAATACTGGATGCGCCAGGAGGTGGGATAGTATCCAGATTAAAATACAGCCACAACCCCACCCATCGGGAGGTGTAGATGGTGGATAGTTCAGTGGGATCATGAAGTCCGTTGATGAATACTGCACAAAGCGACGAGAGTAGGGAATTATCGCAGTCAAAGGCCTTGTCGGCGAAGCCAGGACTGGTGCTGGATGTCGACCTACTGGGCGCTACGGACGAGGATATATCGGAAGGGGAGCAGCTGATGGTGGCGAGGGAGTCGCGTGTACAGGCAGATTCTGGTGTAGAGGCTCTGAACCACATCTTCAGCCTTGCCCCGCTCTCCCAATCCATCGTAGCAAGACCACCAGGGAACCTCTGAGGGGTTGGGCCGTGCAATCAATTTCCATGTCCAAGCGTTCCTTCCGTTTTCTATTTCATATCTGAGGTGCTAGTCTTGTCGTATCTGCATTCGAAAGGATCAGTACACACCGCGTTAAGACGCAGGGTGAATCTGGTTTTTGGGGGGAGCGGGGAGTGAGGGTTGGATCATGATAGCTGCACGGTGTAGGAAGACGTAGATGTGATGAACGACGGACGTTGATGTAGCCTTCTCAATCTTGGAGAGCTGGTGTGGCTGGTATAGATGGTCTACTGACGATTACCGTGCTGAGAGATCAGCTCCACGGCGCACGCCTGCTATTCCCGCAGCTAATACTTTGGATTCGCCGGATGTCATTATCCGGATGGGACGCTAACCGGGGTGAAATTTTCGACAAAGGTAGCGGTGGATCTAAGAATAATCATACCTGATATCGATGACGGGCTAAGCCTGACCCACGCCAGCTTCCCCAGAAACCAAATTCTGCATTACTTTGTTCAGGCTAATCTCTGCCCTTGGCGCACCTCCCGAAATCCGTGGTGTATCCATATAGAGACGCTGCCGTTGAGTCCATTGTCGAAGAGGCTGGTTCTTGTCGGAATGCGTTCTCTCCATTCGTTGCTCTCGTGGCGCTGACGCGAGGTGGTGCCTAGCAACGCGTAGGGAGGAAGGGAAGAAGAGAATAAGATGACGTCTATATGTCGTATTGTTATGTCTGAGGTTGTGTCTGCAGACGTCGGAGAGCAACGGACTCGGTGCTAGTCCTCTCATCAAGACAAAGTGGTGTAAGCCGGCCACGTCAACCACTTAGAAACCAAATCCCTGCGCTACTTCGCTCAGGCTAATCTCCCGTATCCATGCAGACTGTGAGAGCCACTAAGGGGTCCCCGAGAGACTGGTTCTTGAATTTCATGTCGGGGTGCATTCTCTCTCCGTCTCGGGGCGCTGACGCGAAGTGGGGCCAATCAACGCGTAGGGAGAGGGAGAACAGAACAGAGATCGGGAAGACGCTGCACGATGTTAGCGTGGTGTTGGTGTTGGTGTTGGTGTTGTTACCGGCACAAGGTCCCAATAAGGAACGGCCGGGCCCACAGCCCTGACATGGCGAACCATGTGCTGTGGCCACGAAGGCTCATACCGTTGTGATCACGCTTTTGAGTGTGTCGCGCGGAGTAGAGACTCTTCATGGGGTACCCAAAAAAATCATTCACGAATAATATAACGGTACGGTACTAAAACTGCGGAAAACGTTGAATACATATTTAGCGAGAGCTCCAACTATTTTCATATCATCTGCTCCCAGTAGGACGTGTATTACTTCAAAACCAGACGCCGTCGATTTCAACAGATTCGCAAAATGGCCGGTGGCAATTAGGAAAACGGATTTAAAGAAATCAGATCGCAAATCTTCCAAGGATTGTGATCCGTCGCAGTACAACAAAGCGTGCACTTCATCTTCAACTTCCGATAGGTAGAAGCGGCATAAACACTGGGAATGAGGGACAGGTGGACGACGGCGTTCAGCCCATCGTAGAACCTCAACGGCGAGAGTATGCGATGATGTCGGCAGTCGGACTAAGGCTTTGCTATGTGCAGGAATAGGTACATTCAGGTCGTGGTTAGGAAGAAACGATCGAAGCAGGGTACGAACTTGAAGGCAGGCCTGTTTGACTTTGGTGACGTCACACTTCTTCCCACTTCTTCTTCCAACGATCCTCACGGCGAACGATTTCTCTTCTCACTTTATAAAATTCTGACCTTTCCCTGCAGCTGAGTGTCAAACACTCGAGATCAAGGTCAATTTCCCCGCGATGGACGCGCAATAAAAATAGATGGTTAACGAACGGAAGATTGGGCTCTGGAGACGGAGATGAGAACTCTTCTCATAGTGCAGGTTATGCCGTCCGTGTCTTCTGTGTTCTTCTCCCTCTCACGTTGAGGTACGGGTTGGTGCTAAAACGATGGTCCTTTGTTCGGCAAGGAAGCTATCATCGGTGTCGACGGCTGGTGCAAAGGGAAGGGAGTGTTGAAAAGGTGACAAGAGCGCTCTTGGGTCCTGGGATGGTATATCTCCCTACTTTCACCCACATACAACCGTACTCACACTTGCTGTAGCCTGGTCTTATCCGCCCATTTCAACACGACTGTCACTTCCTCTGAAGGGTACCCACCACGCATCACTCATTAGTGAACGGCAGCGAACGCATGAAGCATCTTCCGAGCAAGATTGTGGTTGCGGGATGATTTTGATTCCAGGCGGAGTATCGCCGTTTACTGAGGCACGTTTTCAGTGGCGAGGAGTATCCGTTTGTGCAGGAGGATGGTAAGGGGAGCGGGGGAATCTAAGATCTTTCTCTGCGACCACTGTCGGTTCTCACTCTCGCTCCGCCTCTTACCCACGCCAATCATGACGACCTCTCAACACCACACGAAAGACTCTCTCTTCTCAAAAAAAATTGTCACCGATGTCTAGGCTGGATTCGACACATGTATCGCTTGCAACGAGTTGGCGGGGGTGCTAAGGGCATCTTCTGGCAGGCTGCATAGGCCGTTTTGGGATAATCAACTCATGCTAGGTGTCTATTTCCCTAGTACATGGCTTCTTTTTCTTTCCCCAGCATTAATCTATGTTCTGACCTTTTTTTATACACCTACAGGTCTGTTTCCCCTCAAAAATCCATTATCTCTCGGAATAGTCCTTCTTCTCGACGTCTTCGACTACTTGCAATAATACGGAATTTATTTGAATGCCTCAGTTTTGATGGGAATCTTGTTCTCGACGCGGTCATTTATGTTTTTCAGTCTGTAATAGGTAGCAAGTTACTCCTCGTACCTCAGGCACCTCGCTAGTAAGACCTCTCTTCAACACTGTACAGCGGTTCAATAACATCCCCTCTTTAGCGTGGACTCGTTAGCATGCGGAGTTACATTCATGCCCCAAGCACAATCATGCCATGCACCTATACTGTAAGTCTATCTCGCTTGTCTCTTCATAAATCCGACTAATCCAAGCCTAGCCTTCAACGTTGGGACAACAGATGCCTCAGGATAAGCGCAGCCACATAGAGAAGACCTGCTGGTTATTACACGGTATTTACTCGCATGTAAAGCACGTACTTATATCAGGAATCTAATTTATAATACTTGAGCACAAGACAATATGAGAAAAAGGATGATGCATTCACAGGACAAAATACGTACAGACGATCCAGCTTGCCTGCATGCGCTCTCTCCCTAGTCCTTCGACTGCTCGTTCTTCAATCTGTGCTATACGCCGACTCGCGCGTTGGAAATCAGGGTCGTTGACAGATAATCTCGTTGCGGGCACCGAGGGGATACGTGTCATATGGTCATATTTGAGACGAAGTACGGGGGTGGTATGCAGACACTCCGAACGGATACTTCAAACACTTTCACTCCCAGCCCGTCTATTGGTCCATCCACCAAAACTACCCGACAGCATCCTCCGCCCTCAGAACGCTGATATCAAATACCCCAAACCTCGGTTTGCAGGGTCTCGACGACAATGCTCGCGCATGGACGTTGTTGATGGAGCATTATTACGCATGGAAAAGGAGCAGCTGGTGGTGACGAGGGAGTCGCATGTAGGGGCGGATTCTAGAGCTGCAGACGCTCAAAACACAATCCCGAATCCTGCCCCGCTCTTGCTATCTTTCCCAACCAAACGCGTCTTCCAATCCGCCATAGCAAGGCCAGATTGCGTTCCTTCCATCTGTCATTTTCGTACCCACACATCTTTACTCGAAAGACTTGTAGTGACGCGCAGAGTGAACTCGGTAGGGTGGGGAATGACAGGTGAGGGTTGGTTACGGCGGAATTTCTACCGAGCAAGTAATCTAATCTAGCTTGCGAGTCGCTTCATAGTCAGGTTGGGAGAGATGTCGAGGAATTCTCAAAGGCGATACCAGAATGCAAGTGCGTAAACTGGGCCATCACCTTGACTAGTTGGTGGACGATGTAGAGTGTATAGTCCTGCGGTAATTTTGGACCCGGCTGCTTAATGTAAATTAGAACGATGAGTGAAGGAAGTGTGAAAAACCTCGTACCATCCTGAAATCGACGTTTTCACGCGGGATGGGATATACCAGTATCTCCAAATATACTCCCAGCAGTCGCCCCCACCACCTCGGTGTTTCACAAACCTAAAGATTGAGCCTCGTTGTTCATATTCGCGGCGATATCCAATGACGGTCCACAGGAGGAAGACCCCTCTTGAAGGTTAACGATTAGTCCGGAGGCTCATATGTTCGTGGTAGAAGGATTTGTCCGAGTTTACTATGTGCTGGTGGTGTATGGGAGTTTCGTCGTTGACTCGGTGAGGGTAGCATAGCTTTTGGGATGCGTAAAGGATGATGGCTGCGCGGTGTCCGGGGAAGGGTAGAGGTGATTGACTAGATGAGATCTTGTAATGCAGTGATAGAAATAAACAGGGAGTAGCACCCTGCGCACGATCAAAACTCGCGCAGACCTCCCCACTAGACCCCATATGTAGACGAAACGCGCTAGAGTGCCTCCTCAGTTCCTTCGCTGGTTTGCTGGAAGAATCCGGCTTGAACATCAAAGGTGGACTCAGCACCAAGTAGCTTGTGAATCGAGACAAAGGTGGTGAAGAGAACGGGGGAGAGGGAGGGAGGAGGGACTGGCTGCATCGAGAGCATGAGTGACCACTGATGAGATGGGCGTCGCAAGCAGCTTTGCGGCAATGTCCGAAAGCGGCAGTGACCACCTTGGCTACGTACTATTTCTTTGAGTCCTGCAATTTCGCTTAAACAACCTCAAAACATAATATCTATTTTCCTCTGAACAACTGTGAGTCTCAAATCCACTCTGTGCCTATGTTATCGAGGATGATGTACCATTTGACGCGTCTTTCACCAGCCTAATCCACTTTGAACCAGCAGAAAGCGATACTCTACTACTCTGGACCCTGGAAGACGCGTCGCCTCATTGACGAGAGTCGGGCTGTGCTACCGATACAACAACCTGAGTTCCATGTGTCTGAAAGCGACTTTCCCAAGTCTCTCAAATCCATTCTGCACACTTTCGCGTCAATCTCGAGGAAACCAGGACGGGATGGTTCGACAGAGGAAGGATCATATTTCCTTGACGTGCGAATCCCTGTTCGCGCACAATATCAGCAGCCCGCAAGTCTACCATGCAACGGGGAACTCGTCTAGCCCTTCTGAACGTTTTGCCAGATTTCCGATTTTCACAGCACTGGAAATTTTACGCCTGATTGGATCTTCCTATCCTCAGCATCCGGCCGTTGGACTCTGGAATTCCACACCCACAGGGTCGAGACGACAACGAACGAGTATCTATACGATGGCTACCGACCGGTTTTATTCACCCCACTTTTCCTTCTCCTCTCTCCTCTCCCTCATTCTCTCGCTCTCATGTCCTCCCAGACGTCTTTTCCCCTTCTTTGGGCTCTTCTTCAACGAGCTCTTCTGATCGTTGTACGCGTCCTTGATGCTGGCGAAGTCGATGGACGTGATCTTCTGATTGCCATCACCCGCCTTTCCCGACTTAGGCTTTTTGCCTTCCATGATAACAACGACAACGGCATCGAGCTCACTGAGCTTCACGGTGAGCTCATCATATTTCCTACCTATTCTTGTGTTTCTTATGTTTCTGATGTTCTTTAAAGTTTAGCGTTGCTTTTTGGCCTCAAGGTTATCACGGCGTCATGACTCGTTGACCAACAGGCACCACGACTTATCTTGTGAAGGTGAGCGAATCCTTCGATTTTGTTAACAACCACCTAACCTGCACTTTTTCCAGATCTAATGTTGTTTTTAGGCCTAGCATGTTACAGGAACTAGCTCAGTTTCAGAATGGTACATAAGCCAGGCAATCCCAATTCATTCATACTGTTTATCTACTCGTTTTATCAGGATCTATCAATGATGATTTACGATGCGGGCACGGAGATGGTCTCTACCTCTCAAGATGACGTGCTGAGTTAAAAAAATTAAATTAAACAACAGCTTAGATGAGAACGATATCCGTAGACTGCAAGATACGGTGAGCTCGTGCATTTTCTCACCTACATGTCACTCACTAATGTTTTACAGGCTTTTGAGCTTATATGATATCGAGAATAGGGTGCAATACATTATGTGGATCTGGTCGGCCGATCATTCATTGTTCGAAGCGACTCCTGGGAGGAGTTATTTGCATCGCAGCGTGCACCTTTGAAAGAGTCACATCCAGCCATTCTCAGTATTACTACGGCCCCATTCCTCTCTGGTTCTCACTGCAGACCTATAGTCTGCATTCCCTCGCAGAGACCGAGAACAGCACACCTACTTCACTGACTAGTCTCATCAATGCATGAGTCGTGTCATCCAACCACCCCCCAAGACGTGTACAAATATGGGGCAGACCAACAATAGGTGATAGAAGAGGTCAACCTATAACGAGCGAGCAGTTCTCTCAACTCGTCAGTCTGTCGAAGAAGAGTACCGACTATGGCGCTGAAGCTGAGGCTGAAGCTATGGTGGATCCCAATATGGAGTGGAAGGATATGACAGGTCGGTGTTGCGAGGTTTTTAATGAAGGGGAACAGGAGGACATGGGTTTGAAATTAGAGATAGGTCGGACGATGGCGATGCGGCGAGGCTACACCTGAGAAAGGCAGCAGCACGGATTTTCGCAATCAACAAACCTTTATACCTGGCAGTGGCGGTGTGTACCCTTCATAAGAGCAGTCCCTCGCACCCTCAGGTAGGTATGATAACGACTCGGTTTAAGAAGAGCTAGTACAATATGTACTTAAACAAGACTATACCGACACTTTTCACTAATATCCATCAACCGCCTCCATTCATCTTTACCGGGAATTTGCAACACTGACACTTTCTCAAACCTTTTCCCTGGCAGTCTTCGCCCGACAACGCAAAATTGGGACAACCAACTACCAGCGCAAATCAGTGTGTATGTGTCGTCAGGTATCGGGTACTGGTGGGTGGCTGTGATGTTGAATGTATGTTCTGTCCCACCCGCGTCTTGAACAATCAGCTCCCCCCATCGATCACTGCTTCCTTCCACAACAGCCAACCCCCACACCAACCCCTTTTCAATGCACTTCGCATTACACGAGTCTTTATCTATCTCCTCTTTCCGACCAACGTTGAGGTCGGAGTACCAGTGATCTGCGGGCAGAGGCTTCGTCATAAGCTGGTCCCACGATGGTCTCCACTGTTTTGTGCCTGCATTGCCCGGTTCAGGATACATGAACAACAACCCCCGAATCTCAGCACGCATCGAATTGACGAGAGCTGTCCATGCGTCCTCGAGAGACTCGCTCTCATAGTATGCCGGTATCATCTCGGAGTCCAGAAGAAATGCCAGTCCCGCGACTTTGTCCACCGGGTTGGTCGACACCCGCATCTGCATCTCCTTCAGCACATCAAATACAGTACCGTACGCGACATCATCCCCAGACTGCAGCTGCCTGTGAAACCTGGTCAGTAGCTCAGTCTCATACTTCCCATCCTTATGCTTGGCATGCATCGGTCCATGTGGCGTGTCCCCAGCAATCACCCTGTACCTGGCCCTGCCAACCTCCTGTAGCGTCCATGCACGTCTAAACCAGTACCGATCACTGTCCAAGTCGCCATCCTTCAAACTCAAAGGCCGACCCAGCCCACTCAAGTACCACATCACCTTGGCCTTATGATACACTGCTCCGATGGTGGGCACATCCAGCTTCCACTCTTCCGCACGCATATCCTCCTGCTGTCCACCCACCTGTCTCAAACAGAGAACATCCAACCATGTATACTCCACTTGAAGATTGAGCATCTCAATGCGGATCAGCTTGAGGCTGGTGTCTTTCGGGATGGGAACGGGCCATTCGTGTCCGTTTATGGGTGTCCACACATCGACACGATTCTCCTCGTCCATCCATGCATGCGATATTGGCCGAAGCCTCAATGTCCAGTGCTCGGTTATGCCTGTGCACCACCATGGCACCACCCGATTACTGTACAGATCCCAGACTCGTCGAGGTGGCAACCTTGTTTCGACGATCCGGTTACCGACGAGTGCTTTCCATCGCATCTTTCGGTCCTTCTTTTCCCATTCGCGCAGTATGTATCGTATAGTGCTCCCGCTGCGGGTGTACCATATCCGGCGGAGGCGGCCATATGCCATGCCAAAGTCGTAGTTGTTTGCAATGCACTCTTTAAGAAGGGAGGAGAGGGATCTAGTGAGAGTGTGTGATGTTCCCAGTGTGATGTTGAGTTGATCCAAGAGGCCCTGAACACCGAGGGTAGCACAGGGAGTGTCAGCGGGGCGGGATGATATCACAGGCATTCTACCGGTGTACGCCCGTTGCAATGGAACGACGATTGACGATTCCTCTTGGCCCGTCTCAGTGTAGGCGGAGATGATGACTTTAGGAAGAGAGATTCTCTGGGAATGTTATTAATCCCCCCTCTGTTTGTTTCCTGACTGACGTACCTTTCGTGGAAGCCAAGATTTATCAGCATCAGACATACCATTTCTCATTTTTCTAGGCTTAGAATGGCAAACAGATCGAGGGAGCGCCAAACGAAAAGGTGTTTGCCTCGAGGCATCACAACTTGCAAGTCACAGCCCTTCCAGGCTGTTGTGTGTGAATAACCCGATAGAAGTCTTCGTTCTATCGATCTATTAAATACTTTCCCGCACGGATCAACGTAGTTCGCTTAAATCGAAGACATTCAACCAAGTTCATTTTGAAAGGCCGCGATTCCTGCAGATACGTCGGGAGAGTGGGTGGTGTACACCTGCGGCGTCTAAGGGAAATCGAGATTAGCAGTCATGATGCTTGTCATTTCTGGTCGTAGTTAGGTGCTTTGGGCTTCGATGACATTTCTGTTCCTAACGCAATCCTCAGCGAGCGTAGCAGCAGTCTCTTCAGAGTCAGCTCAGGCCATCCCGCCCTATACATTGAAAAATGAACCTTATTTGAAGTTAGTGTTCTATTGAAATAGCAAATAATTTGAGTCCGTCTACACAGAACAGGAACAGTGCTATTGGACTAGTAAAAACGCGATGCCCCAGGCTCGTTCCGCGCGAATGCCTTTACTGATGGCGGAACGATTTGTATGGTACAGCATACACGGTGATGAGACGCCACTGAAGTCAAAATCAGATGAAGATAATAGTGAGTTTGACAAGGATGATACCTGATATCGGATAGTACTGTCGAATGATGAACCCGGGGGACGCAGTAGTAAAATCTGCGACGGAATCGTCGCGTGTGATAAATAATGCACACGATACATTTCTTTCCTCTGGAGATGATTTTGCCTAAGAAAATGATTAGTAGGCCGAAACGCTATCTGAGAGAAAATTTCACGGTCATATCCCGTAGTACGTATACCAGCAAGTCGTTTCTTTGCAGGGCTAACGAGTCTTGTAAATCAGTGTACGTCGTGTCTGATGCAATAACCTGTCCAGTCGGCACCAAAAACGAAACCCGCAAACAATGCGCATAGATACCATCTTATCGGACCCCATACGGAGTGATGCTGTTATAATCCGTCGAAAGCTCCTGTATTCCATGGGATCTTCTCTGAATCTGAACTGTCCTAGATAGGCATGTTGATAGCCTGTAGCAGTGGTCGGGGGAATACTACTGACGAGCCTTCTACGACGATGTTCCCCCAACATTTGTTGCACGATGAAACGTCGGAGTAACAAACGTGTCCGAGATTGGGAAAATATGATGTACGACAAAGTCGAAGGAGAGTGTGCTGCTCCCAGCCAGAATCACTGTCGATGTGAACGGAGAGGTAAGCACCAGTTGGAGGAAGCATAGTGTTTATGTACATGTTCGACGAGCAGAGTTCGGCCAGATTGGATGTTAGGAAAAGACAAACGTAAGTCAACTGTGAGTGGGTACACCCTGATCAGACACATGTTGGTCAATACAAGCTGGCTGTGAATATTTGGGACTATAGTATGGATGCAGTGCCGTTAGGGTGTTGGAAACGATATCGCGATCTTTCAGCATCGTCGATTGATGTGGGATATCCTCCTAACCATGGAGGGGTAGCTTTGACTATAAAAGTCACATGGGAGTTCGAAGACGCGGAGGTCGTTCACGACACATGATTTTGGATCTACCAGGGTGGAGGTGCGCTGCGGATAATCGATATAGCATTGAACGTACGCTGTTGGTTACAGCAGCTAAGTCACCAGAGCGCAGACCAAATGATATCAATCGATGAGGACGACTAGGGTGCTCCGTCATTCATCGGATGTCACTTGGGTAGGTTCATTAACTTTGGTTATAACGGTTATTCGTGATCAGCTCACCGAATTGTTCCCAAACGTGTGTACGTCGTCGTAGTTGATAATGGAGGAAAGAAGAACCCTTTGAAGCGCCTGTCAGATCACATTGCACTACGCAAACCCGATGACTTTTACATACCCCAAAGATCTTGCCATGCAGTCGTCTCTATCCATACATTTTGCACCTACGGGCTGGCCCTCGAGCTCATCGCAACGAACACCGGATGCGACAGAAGATGGGAGAGCATTGACATCAACATACAGCCGGAATGTAGAGATGTAGAAGGTGGACAGCTCGACGGGATCGTGAAATCGGTTGATATACAATGCGCAGAGAAACGGGAGCAGGGAACCATCGTTTTACTGTAGATCCAATGCGTCGCCAGTGAAGCCGTCAATGATATCGAGCCGATATATCCCTGATAGTGTTCGAAGGGATGCCCACACCAATCTCCTCAGAAACCGAAACCTCCTTCGCTTCGCTCAGCCTCTGCCGTGCCCCCGAAATTCATATAAGCACGCTGTCGTGAGGTTTCATTTGTCAGAGGCCGGTTCTTGTCGGGGTGCCACGTTCTCTCATCGTTTGCTGCTTCTGGGAGGTAGGGCGAATCGACGTGTAGGGAGAAGGAGAAGAGAATAGAAAATGAGATAGATGCAGTAGAATGGTGAGAAGGAAACGATCGGAGCAGTGTTGAAAGCTAGGCGCGTCTGTTTGGTGGGCAGGGCATGTTTGGTTCTTGGTGACGTCAGGCTTCTTGGGTTCCTTCCCAACGACTACATCGAATTTACGATGCACGGCAAGACAATTTTTCTCGTCACTTGTGCAGTTCTGACCTTTGACTAGGATTACCAAACGCTCAACGCTCAAGACCAAGGTCAATTTCCCCGCGATGGACGCACCGAGAGAAACAGACGTCGACGTTCCAGTTGTTAGGCTCTGAAGACGGATCGGATGAGAACTCTATGGCTTGTGTGCTCATAGCGACATTTTCTACTCTCACGTTGACGGTTGAGGTACGGGTTTTGGCGCTAAAACACTAGACCTTTGTTCGGGTAACGACAAACCAAACGAACTTTGAACTGGAGCAAAGGGAAGAGAGTGCTGAGGAGGTGACGAGAGCGTGTTCAGAATAGTAGGTCTCCCTTCCGTCACCCACATCATTTCAGCCGTACTCACTCTTATCGTAGCCCACGTCAGGACACCCACGATGCCGCCTTGACGTCCATCACTCGTAGAACAAGAAAGTAATGCAACCTTGTGGGCGGAACCCAGTCCTCCGAGCATTTGATTCCTCGCGAGGTATCAACGTTTCAACATTTGCCGAGGCTCAGGCGTGCTTTGAGGGACAGAAGGATAGTAAGGGAAGCGATGGAATTCGGCTAATCTACTACACCTAGGTTTCGACGCTGAGACGACGGGTGCCTCGGGGTAGACACAACCAAAAGGGGGATGTGTGTGAGGTAGATGGAGGAGGTCGTGATTAAACTTGCGGGATTTGTGTAACTCGCGTGAGGGGTACACATAGATGCGCGAGGACATGGCCAATCATTACACGGTACTGGCATGTACGGAATTTATTTAAATAAAATGATGCATAATTTACAATAGAAACAAATGCGAGAGAAAGCACATCGTCGAGAAGTGTTAGTATGTCTGCATAGCTAATCGATGGAATAAAGACACTGTGCTGTCGGTGCCAAGGCGTTCTCTTCCGGCCATTTCGATTTCAGAGTCTTGGTCGAGTCTATTGATACTTCCATTTTGCTTCGCGTCCCTCGCTGATAGCATGATACCCAGCTGTCGATTACTTCTCGACCCAGGATCTTCCGACCGAGCTCGATAGAGAGAAAGATTTTCAAGATTGCGACCCATTCTCGTAGCTTGCGAGCCAAACCACCGCCACTCAGCGGTCTCTGACGCCCCGCTTAGGGATACAGCCACTGATGTACGAGTTGGTCAAGCCGGTGGTAGCTTCACCGTTGATTGAGGCTGCCGTGTCGGTGTACTGGGTGTCAGAAAACAAGGTGCAAAGAAAAGGTGCAAAGGCGCATCGACCGGATTTGCAGTTCCGAGGGGCAGTCATTTGACGATTAGTCGGGAGGGACGTACGCCTGTGGTGGGAGGAGTGTTGGAGCTTGCCGTGATGGGGTGTGAGGATTTCGTCGTTTTCTTGGTAATGGTAGAACAGCCGAGCTCCGTAGTATGAGCTCGTTTTATCGTCTGCTGTAGTGGGCGGTGGACTGAATGAGGTCTTGTAGTGAACTGGCGTTGGGAGTTCACGCGTATGGTTCGTGGTGGACTACCATGCACGGCTTTCGGATGGGTATCTTATGTTGCAGCTGGTGTATGGATCCACCCACAAAATCACTGACAGCGTCCTCCCTCAAAACACTGATGTCGAACGCCTTACACCGTGCCTTGCAGAGTCTTGACGACATTGTTTGCATGCTGGCGTTGGATGTCGGTCCGCAAGGCGTTATCGACGGGGAGTCTCCATATATGTGGAAAAGACGTGGCTGGTAGTGCATAGGCGGATTCCACAGGTGCAGATGCTCTGAAGCACAATCTCCAACCCTGTCCCGTTCTCGCTATCTTTCCCATCCCAGCCCGTCTCCCGATCCGCCATAGCGAGGCCATTACAGCACTCTCTGAGAGGTTGGACCCTGCAACTAGTTTCTGGCGTCCGAGTGCGTTCCTTCAGTTTGTACCAGAGGCGTTCGTCTTGCTGTATCTGCACTCGGAGGATTCGGTACACACTGCAGTGACACGCAGACGAGTAGGAGCGGAGAGTGAGAGTTAGACCGTGATGCATGATGGCTGCACAGTGGAGGACGACGTGAACGTGGATGTCGACGAAGTCTTGTAGTGCACTGATGAAAGCAATGAGGAGTCGCTCCTTGCTGTGCGCTTATCCTCCCACCACCTTGGTCGTGTTGCTACCTGCAGCTCTTAACCGGTGCATTTCGAATGCTTCACTCCGCCCAAGCTACATAAGCCCTGCCCAATAACCCCGGCCTCCAGTGCGCATTGGTAGTATCACCACCTCGCTTCCAGACTTGCAGCTCCCGCAGTTCCTTTCTGATGCCTCCATCGATGAATGGACATCTCGTTCATTGCCCGACCTTCTCATCCGCACGCACGCTTTGAAGACTACATCTATGTATGCCGTGTGGTCGTGTCTGAAGCCTCCTCGATCTCAGCGAGGGAGGAGTTTGGATTGTCTAGAGGACTGGCGGTGAAACTCCTTCAGAGCACTTAGTGGCTGATATAGATGGTCTTGCGTATTCCACCCCGGCTGACGATTACCGAGCTTGCACGTCAACGTCGTATCCCTGCGGCTTGCCTTGGATTTACCGGATGTCGATGCGCAGATGAGACGCTACTGAGGTCAAAATTCGATGAAGGTAGAGGTGGATCTAATAATAATC